AACAAAGGAAATGTGTGAAGGTTGCTCTTGGGCTGATACTGTCATCCATAAGGCTACTTCCATATTCAATGTGTCACATGAAAACAAGCCCTGCCTTGCTTAGAAGAAACAGAAAGGTTTGTACATGCAGTGGAATTCAGACTAGCAGCTATGTGTTGATGTGATGAAGAGAATTAACTTACTGTACCGTCACTGATCAGTTCAGAGTACCAATACTGACAAATATCAAAGTTTCTGTTTTGCAGTGGTGTAACAAAACAAAGGTTTGATAACAAAATGACACTGTCAGTAAAATATTTGTTATATTTCTCTGATCTGCATTTATTGGAACAGAATCTGTATTTTGTTTCTACAGAAAGACACTAAACAGAAATCCATTGTAGTTGCTGACAATCCATTGCTTGAGAGAGTGAGACATTTCAAAAAATGAGCAACACCCTCTAATATTTCGGACACTTTGTGTTGAGAAAATCGTGCTGCAGAGAAGCTTCAGCAAGAACAGTGAAGCTGGTCAGAAGTAAGGGGAAGATTTAAACCTATTAGAGCTACAAATCTTCACAAGGCGAAGATTTACCTCCGAACAGACTGCCAAACTGTCAGATCCCTGACAGTTTGGGTCAGGAATCTGCAACCTCTACATCCTCTACAAGTAACTGTTATCTGAATGATAAAGAATTTTGGTAACACTTTATTTGACGGGTTGTGAATATAAGACTGTCATGAACATGAGTAAGTCTTCATGAATATTTATGACTGTTGTCATAAAGTGTCATTCTGTAATAATGACACTTTTAATGCAAAGTTGACATTATTCAAAGTGTCTTCATTATGACAACTTGACATTAACCAAGAAATCATGATCTGATGTAAATTTGTTATAAAAGTATTACTGATTAAATTTTAAAAATTATGTAGCTTTATGTCATTAAAATTAATTTTTTTTTTTCTTAAAGAAATGTTTTAAAATGTGGATGTTCAGTGTGAACCCTGCCTCTGATGAAGGGAACTGGTGAACCTCTTGTGTGCCACTAGTGACCCCACTGCTGACCCTGAAGGAGAAGCATGTTAGGTAACACACAGATGGATGGGTGAATGTTCCATTATATTATTAAAGTTCATTTTGGGTTTTTTTTGCAAAAAAAACACAACAAAAACCCAACAACATAGTTTTAGGAGTGGCTTTACTGCAATGTTTTTATTACTTTTTCTTGAGCAATATAAATATAAATATGAAGTATTGCTACTCTTGAGTAAACTTTGAAAATTCTCCACCATCAGTAACATCACTGAATAAAGACCAAGATTGTTTTAACCAAAACCTTGAGACACAAAGCACTCCTACAGTTTATGTTAAAGTGAGACCTCCTATTTACACACAAGTTTTGTTCTGATGTTAGTTTTAATTTATGCGTCATTTTCCTTCCAATCATGCTGTACTTTCTGTGGATCTGTCACATAAAATCCCAGTTAAAATGTGTAAAAAAAAAAGAGTTAAAGAGCTCAAGAACGCTTAGAAACACTGTAAATGTGATAATTGCTATGGAAAGCTTTGATTTCTGCGGCCATTACTTCTTATCAAAGTGATGATTAGCCTTAGATTGCCAGCTCACATGCTAATCACAGAGGAAGGGGATGTGTTAATGGAAGTATTCCCTGCTATTAATAGCTAAGTGAGTGACAGTGATTAGGGCCAATGTGGAACATTGTAAGGTCACTGAAATCTGGATTGGTTTGAGTCAGGAGAGAGAAAGAAGCACAGCAGTGTTTAGTGCCTGTTAGAGTGGGCTGAGCTTTTCAAGGAAAGCTTCTTCACCCCCTCAGTAGAGGGAGGGACAGACAGCAGGGACAGAGCTGCTGACCTAATTTCTATGCAGACGCAGGACTGATGTGGGAATGATGACCTCCACATCACCTGATTTGGTATTTAAATAAAAAATATACAAAAGCATCCCTTCTGTCTTCCTCGTTCCCTGGTTTCCACCGGATCTCCTCTCTGCAGCTGCAACTCTGCAATTTCAGCTGAGTTTCCATGGCAATAAGAGGAGGGAGTGCTGGGAAGTCAAACAAACCGGGGGCGGATGCAGAGACACCAGAGACATTTTGGTAAAGAAATGCAATCTCTTCATGTCTTTATGTAGTATGAGCTTTACATAACAATGTGTGTTATGTAACACACAATGGTCACACACGTGACCATTACACTGCTGTGTAATGGTCAAACATTCACCATGGCAACAATGCCAAGGAGCTCACTTTACCACAGTGTTGCACACAAACACACATTGCAAAAAAGGAAGAGATGGAGTGAGGCAGGCCAGACCTGACTGAGGCTGCAGAGGAGTGTGTTTTACAGGGCAAACATCATTCGTCTGGGGCCCCAGGGCAGAACCGGGGCCCAATCAACACTGCCTTTTGATGACAAATTTTATTTCACAAAATTTGCCTTGATGTATTTTTTTCTTTTCTGATGTGGAGGCAGCCTCAACAAGCTCTGACAAGGACAGAGTGTCAATACCTGAACCGAGGCTCGGGGATGACACAGGATGAACTCTGCTTCTATCTGACGGTTTCCCTCATAGGTTAGGTTTCTGGTTTGTTGGTGGATGGAGTCACTTTTCCAGTTAAGCTGACCACTCACTTACACACATTTACAAATCAAAATGTGACTGAACTCAAACCTACAACCTTCTGATTGCAGGAAGCTTGTAGGTTTTCCTCTTTCCATCAACTGGTTCTCACCAGGCTGCTTCAGTTTATGTTCTGCTTGCACTGTTTTGGTGCTTTGGTTTTAAAATGAATACAGAAAAGCTTTTGACTCACGACCAGTAGTCCTCCAGAAAAGGAGAATCAGTACCATGACGGTGAGCTGCAACTAGAAATCTAAGGTCAACATCAACAAAATCAAACATTTTCATGAGTTTTTATTCTTCTTTTAAAGTTAGTCCTTCCCAGTTTGATTCCGAAATACCTACCCGTCTTTATATTTGGATTTTAAAAACTACATGTTTTGGAGCCCCATTGACTAATGATGATTAAAAAGCACTAAAGTAACAACACTGTAGTAAAGATCAGCTTTCTCCAACTAAAGGAGAAGTAAACAAGAAGAAATTGTTGAATAAGATTAGAAAATAAACTGAGACGGAATGTCAGTTGTGGTTCATCTTCAGTTAACAGAAGATGAACCACATATTCTGGTTTATGCAACGAGATGGAGACTAATTTTACAAAATCTAAGATCCCTAGGAGAGAGAGCTCGGATGACACCTTCTGGCCAAAGTTGGTATGACACTAGAACGCAGAGTGAAATATTTTTGATTTTTCTGTTTTATAGTTCATTACACTGTGTTATGATCTCAGAAGATTAGAATAAAGATCAATAAAAAAAGAATCTTTAACCCAAATAATGTTTTTTTTTTCATTGTGTCTCCATGTACATTATATGATGTGCTTAATGAGGGGAATTGAAAAGATTGTATTTGAAGGAACACATGCATTTTGAGTACATACTCAAAATGCACTCAATGCATTGCATTCAGTAAATTGAGTTTTCATGAAACTCAGTTTCCACTGAGAATGCAAACTGAATACATCTTCAGTATGCATTCTCAAACTGCAAATGCTAGCTCTTTCTGTTCAGCATTTTTAGCATAATTGCAGTGATTTGCTGGACATACAGAAGAAAAACTAAACAAAACTTTCAACCTCATCACACTAGTGATTGATCCGACACCAATAGTATGAATATTCAGATCAATTTGTCCAGGCCTAGCAGGAAGTGCTTCAAAAGGTTTTGATAGAAGATGTGGCAGAAGAGGACACGAGTCCCCAAATTCCCACTGACTGGTCCTTCACATTGGACCTGAAGAAGCCTGGGTTCTGTGCATCGCCACTGTTTCTCCACATTCTAGGACCTTGATTTCAAAATAAAATACAAACTTTACTTTCATCTGAAAGAGACTTTGGATCACTGAGAAACTGTCTAGCTCTTGGATTCAAGGTTCAGAATCGGCCCGTCTCCCAGAAACGTCTGAATGTGGTGGTTTTTGAAGTGGTGACATCCAGCAGCCACAGGTGCAATATTCTTTGCACCTGCGTACTCTGCATTGAATGACTGGATAAAATAATATTTCGGTTTCAAGTGAACCATTTTTCTCATCAGGGACATACATCTGTGAGTATGTTCGTGCCATGTATGCCTGTACACCAATATGCCTTTTATTATTGTTACTTGTGATTGATATTTTTTATTTAATATTTTTTTTTTTTTGCTTTGACTGCCACCTACTTAAATTAAGGACTAAATAAGTCCACAAAATCCTAAATTTGTAAGTCATACTTTTTTCTTTGCTGTTTTTCTGTACTCTTTAAAATACAAGCGCTTTCTCTGTTTAATTGCTCTAATGTTTTATTGTTTTTTGTAGGTTTCTGTAAAGTGCAGTGAATGGGAATGTTCTGTTTTTGATCCTCACTGTTCTTAGGAAGGATAAATGTCAGTTTGTCTGCAGTAATACTGGAATACTGTGACATTGTACTCTGACTTTGGTAAAATATTTTTCAGTTACTCTGAAGTACAAGGCTTCTCCTGGACTCCGTTCTTCCATGGACAATCGACTGTTGTTCTGACAGTCAAATACATTTAACAGATCTATGCCTGTTTTCCTAGATAAAATGTAATATTAATGCCATGTTGTCATTTTTGATACCAGTGAAAAAAACTTTTAATGGTATGTTATGATGTAGACCTATCCTTACAGAGCAAAAAACATAATGAATTAACATCGATTCCATACTTTTGATTCAATATAAAAACACAATGCACATATAGATCCACATAAAGATGATGGTTGAAATGTAGACAGAGGAGTTTGTTTGACTTGGGGCGTGTGGCCTCAACCTCTTGGCTCAAACTACAAGAGTTTGAACCTTTATACTCTGATCATAGGCTTGACATGAATGATGGTGTGTTATTAAAAGTCAGAAAAAAGCTGGACACATCAATGTGTTGTCCCAAACATTTTATTGTAGCTTCCAGAATAGTTTTTACAGAAAACTATGCCATTTCAAAAATCAAAAACAAACCATGCTGGAATGACAATAATTTATTCACCACAGTCACTGTCCAGAGAAGAGCAGCAGTTCTGCAGACTGAAACAGAGAACATAGACAGAGGCATCCTCCTCTAAAGCGGTCAGGCTGAGAATGTATCCCACTAATTAGAGATGAAGGTCTGGTTCACAGGGATTCTCTGGTGTGACCTGGCTGATCTGTGCCTTTAACTTATTGCACTACTGTTTATTTCATAACACACTGTAAGTGGCCTGGTCCCTTCAATCTGCCTGTCACACAGCTTATGTCTTCTTAAAACAGGCTTCATGTAGTTTCTCTTGACTTTTAGAAAGGTTCATTTTAAAAATCTAGAAGCTCTTTTAGTAAGGCTTGTAATGTTCAACACTAAAAAGGTCTTTCAGTTCACAGCCACTTACAAAGGGCGAGGAAGTAAAAATAATACCAGTTAGTGTTACAAGACAAAAACACAGATAGCACACATTCCCAACAACATGTTGAGGTTAGAGACACCAAAGCTGCTTTCCAATGTGGTTGTGCAGAAACTGAATCGTTTCATCAGTGTCTCTGATTGGTAGTGTGTCAATGGATTTCAGCAGCTTAGTGATGGATGCTCAGTTTACAAGTCAGCTTCTGCAATATCCAGAATACAGTTTGTATACTTACATTAAAATCAATCATGGTTGAATTTGTAGGAAAATATTTCATCAAGTTTGTATGTTGTGAAGGTAAAAAAAAAATGGTGGAATAATAAAAGGTATCCCTTTAAGACAGAACTGGGAAGTTAAACAACACAATTTAACTCACAGCTAGTTGAAGCTAAGGGTGTCCCGATCCGGTATCAGGAACTGATCCGATAAATTAGCATCAGATTAAATCGGCCTGCATTTAAAACGTCTGACAGAAGCACAATGATATTAAGCATTCTAAGCATTTAGCCTGCCCCAGTATCTCCATCCACAGGTAGACATATTTAATAATAAATGAGTCAGTTGTTCTCATACCTGTTGTTGACTACTGGAGTAAAATCACTTGATCAAGCCTTTTCAAACATTGCACACTACAATGTAGTAGTGCCCACTTCCTCTGCCCCTCACCACCCCCACACCTCCTCATGGAGGTGTGGGGGTGGTGAGAATTAAAGGATGCTTAAGTTGTGCTGACATTGCCTCTAGTTAATATCAGTATCAGCCAAAACCGATAAAGTTGTATCGGGACACCCCTGGCTGAAGTTTCCTCAAAAACATAATGGTTGATCTGTTTGATGCCCCATGAGTCAAAACAAGAAGAACGATTGGATGTCATGGAGAGAAAATGCTTCAGTGCAGCCAGAATCCACAGCTGGCCTGTGTCTGCATGTCTGACAGTTCACACTTCATGACCTGAAGCTTCACTTTAAAACTTGTGACAACTTGTTTTCGGTCAGGTGATGATACCAGAGAAACGGAGCTTACAGAGCAAATAGTCAGTCAAACACACTGAGAGGAGGAACAAGAGGTAAAGTCTCAAACAAAGACATCCTGATTGCAAGGGCTCAGAAAGAACTGATTGAATAAACGCTCAACAGACAACTCAATCTTATACACATTCACACACATACAGTTTTCTGCCAGAGTGCAGGTCCTAGCATATGGCTCATCCAGGAGTGGTCATTTTTCTGATCTGGAGTAGACAGAGGGAGGTGTAGGGGTGGTGAGGTGAACGCTGCCTCACCTTTGCATAGAATCAGAAGTGGCCAGAGTTGACCTCAACATTTACATGAAAGAAGGAAGAGAGCCGACCGGACTGACTGCATGAACGAGGTTCTAGTCAGAAGACAGGAAATGTCCTCTGGCAGCATTCGGACCAACATTTCAGAGTAAAGTTTGACTTCATTACTAACATCAATGAAACTGCAGCAGAATCTGGCTCTAAAACAAAATTATTATACAGAAAGACTCAAAAATAAAGCTAAGAAATAGTTTGATATTGTAGGTATCAAACACGCACACATATCCCAAACATTCCCCAAACTCCGAGCAACTTATGGTGCTAAATAAAAAAAAGCCCACAACAATAAACAAACAAAACAAAAAAACAAAAACAAACAAAAAAAATGCAAAAAGGAATGAGGAAAATATAGGAAGGGGAAAAACAAACAGGAATACCGTTCAGTAAACAATTTATCCAAAGTCTCACATTTTTACTAAAGGAACATTTTAAAAAGAGGAAATGAAGATGGGGTGGGGTTGTCACGGAGACTTCTCTGTACATGGAGAAATGCAAGACTCTGAGCGAGTTCAGATCGCGCTGATCCATCAGCGGCTCCATCAGCACAGTGAGTGCTGCTGCCTCTACGTCTCTGTTGGAAGGAAGAAACATGGTTAGTAAATTCCTTCTGGTAGCTCTTATTTGGTATCTGAACACAGTAAATATTGGCCAAGATTTATTGCAAGCCTTCATATACATTCAAAGTTACTGTAATAATTTAGCAAGCACTTGTAAAGACTGCTGTTTTCCCTAAACAGCAGTCTTTACAAGTACTGAGAATGTCTCGTCTGCTGCATCTCCAGGTCTGGGTTTGTGATCTGAACCAGGAGTGGGTGCATGAGAACAGCTGAAACACAGAGCTTTACATGTTAGGAGGACCAACCACAGAACAGAACTTATGAAGAGGGAGAACAACTTTTCCCAGAATTCCATCTGCACATGACTAAAGTGAAGCAGCATTGATGTTCAGTTTGGAGCCAAATCTAAACAAAATCTACAAGTTAGCACTAGTGTGTCACGTCTTTCACAGGATTTTTTTTTTCTTCGAAGAGTGCGGAGAAAAAGGTTGCGACGTTTCACAGGATTTAACTCTGACAATTTATGTTAGTCCAATTTCTTGGACTAACATAAATTGATGATGCTGTTTATGTGTTGCTCTGGAATATCGTCTCTGCTGCTCGAAATTCAGTCAGTGGCACCTGTATTTGTTCTAAGACTGACAGGAGATCCTTCCTGACCACATCACCAACCACAATATATTTGAAGATACTTGTATGATATGAGTTAATTTTTGGAAAAACTCTTTTTGTAATGAAGATGAATTGAATTTAGGGTTGAGGTGCAGTGTTAGTTTTAAAGTTCTACTTTGGTTTCTTATCACCAGAGCAGCTTCTATATTGTTAAAAGACTACCTGTGACAAACATACTGGCCTCTCTTCCAGAAAGGCCAGTATATGCCATGCAGCTGTGCTGTTAACAGACTCTTTTAAATCTGTCAAAAATGATGCACTTATTTGTGCTGGTTCATCACATAAAATTGAAACAAATCCTCTAAAGGTTGTAACTATAATAGTTCTGGGAGTGTGATTACTTTTGCAGAGTCTCATCTGGAAGGTTAATCTCCAGCAGTAAAGACAAGCTAACAAGCCCTCTCTTACTTGGATGGTGGACAGGACTTTTACCTGTGGGCTCATTTTTATGCTGTTCCTCTCTATCAGTAAAGTCTGCTGCTGCTGCTGTGAGTGCACGTGCACACACAAGCACCAAGCACACACACGCACACACCCACACACGCATACACGCGCACACACACGCACACAGTCTGAGAATTGAGCACAGGAAGACCATTCAAATGGGAAAAACATTTCCAAAGAGTACCCACCTTCCTCTGCTTCCTCCTTTACCTCTTCTTTATCTGTAGATTATCAGGGAAACAAAAAGTATGAAGAGAATGGTGCTCAAAGTGCAGGAAGGTTAATAAACACATATTTCAACACCAGAACCAAACTCTGACTAGTTGAAATTCAGCTTGAGGTCTTTCTTCCAAGTTCTATTCTCACCTGGAACTGATTGATCCTCCTCTAATTCTTCAGGAGTTTCCTCCAGAGCAGCTGCCTCTGTGGCTTCTTCAAACTCCCTCCCCTCCTCTACAGGCCCCTCCTCCTCTACAGCCTCCTCCTCTAAAGGCCCCTCCTCCTCTACAGGCCCCTCCTCCTCTACAGCCTCCTCCTCTAAAGGCCCCTCCTCCTCTACAGGCCCCTCCTCCTCTACAGCCTCCTCCTCTAAAGGCCCCTCCTCCTCTACAGCCCCCTCCTCTACAGGCCCCTCCTCCTCTACAGCCCCCTCCTCTACAGGTCCCTCCTCCTCTAAAGGTTCCTCCTCCTCTACAGTCCCCTCCTCCTCCGTAGGCTCCACCTCCTCCATAGTCTCCACCTCCCCCATAGGCTCCTCCTCTTCTGCAGGCTCCATCTGCTCATCAGCTTCTTCTTCTATGTTTGGTTCTTCTGAGAAAGCTTCCTTCTCCTCCACAGGTTGTTTTTCTACAGCAGCCTCCTCTGAGGGCTCTGTCTCTTCCTCAGCTACATCCTCTGAGTGTCCAGGTTCTTCTTCTGCAGGCCCCTCCATAGCAGGCTCCTCTGAAGGAGCTTCTCCCATTTCCTCCACAGGTTCTTCCCCTTCTTCTGTGGTAGCTACGTCCTCCACAGCTTCTTCTGTGAAGGTCTCCTCTGCCTCTACCTCAGGGGAAGCATCCTCCTCCTGCTGAACTGGCTCCTCCAGAACTTCAGCAGGACGTTTCTCCTCTTCTGTGGGCTGATCAGAGTCCTCGGTTTGTTCTGCATCCCTGGCCTCTTCAGTTTCCTCCTCAGCTGCCTCCTCCTGAGGCAGAAATACTTCACTTTATGAAAAACACACTTACACTTTCTGTTTACAGCTACAACTGAGGCTCAAGGAAGGAGAACAGCATAGAAATGTTCATTAATTTTAGTAATTCAAAAGTAAACTGAAAGGTCCATTTACTAAACACTGAATAATGTATTTAAGCTTTTATTTCTGAGAACATTAAATCGATTATCAATTATACCCAACCCTCAGAATATTTAAATTTTCTGAGAAAGTGAATTTTAGGTTTTCCTTTGCTACAATAAATCCTCGTCAAACATGACAGAAATAAATGCCTGAAATAGAGCAGTTTGTTAAATCTGTATATGTTTTTACTCCAGAAATCCACAAGTTTCACTTTTAGATCTCAACTACAAACACCAGTCCTTTTTATGCTATTTTAATCTATATATATATGGCCTTCTAGAAGGCACTTTACTTAATAGGTAGATTTCAAAAGCAGGATTTTTCTCCTTAGTATTTGCTAAAATTCATAGCTGCACACCTGAACCTAGTTAAGATAAGTCCAAACTTCCAGTTGCAGTAGTCACATTAAAAAGCAGTTATTACCACCGTGGTGTAACAGAATGACCATATCACAGACCTCCACAGGTGTGTCTTCCTGTGCAGCAGGAAGCTCATCCTCCAGCACCTCTGGATCCTCCTCTAAAACCTAAAACATCATGTAACTGTTACACATTTGAAATCAAATATTTAACTAAACTGACAAGAAAAGTTCTGAAGTGGAAGCAAAACTAATATGTATTTTGTTACATATAAATGTAACCTGCATTAAAGAGTATTTATCCGGGAACATGGGATGAAATGTTTCTCCTCAATAAATACATAGAAAAGGAAAATACCCTGGCTCCAGTCTTAAGGTTTTACTTCAGTAATGAAGAATCTCACCCACTCTAGTGAACCTGACTGGGATTAACGTCCAGCTGGTGAGCACAGAATGTGTGGACAGGAGTGTCCAGCATGGGCGTGGCCAGCTTTTCTAAGATGGTTTCTGATGACTTTTTTGGAACTAATTTGGGTCAATTGCAGTATAAAACTCCAGCAAGTCAGCTAATACGCTCTACCACCCATAATTCCTTTGGTTTCTGGTCAATCAATCACTAAACGACAAAATATTTCAGTTTCAACATGTAAGTAGACAGAGAACATCCCAAAATGAAAAGTGAGCTGGAGATTAACTTGCTGGACTGTTCTAACCTTGGGAATCTCCTCGGGTTCTGGTTCTGGCTCCACCATCTTAGGCTCAGCAGGTACTTCAGGTTCAGCTTCTAAGACAGAGAAGCAAAGAAGTGTTCTATGTCCATGAAGCTTTCTGAGTCGGTCAGAACCCCCTCACAGTTCAGACTCATACCTGGATCATTAGAACCTGCTGTATATGGTCCACATTCAGCCAGTGGTACTGATGCGGGACTACAGATTTCTATTGGCTGAATGTTCTACTATCAGCCCAGAGCAGGAGGTCAAACTCATTTTTGTTTCGGGTCACATGAATATCATATTTTTAGATCATCAGTGATCTAAAAACTGCTGGTTGTAGCAGAACCTATTGATCAGACGACCCATTAATAAACTGTCCAAAAAAATAGACAAATAGCTGTCTGCTTTTCAGTAGTACTTAAAAGTTCTAATTGGAGGCCGCATAAATAGCTGTTGTGGTCTGGATTTGGCCTGCAGGTCTCCAGTTTGACACCTGGCATAGACAATCACTCAACATCCCTGCTAACAAAGAAGAGATCTACACTTATTACAATAATACCATTTGGAGACAGTCACCTAGTGGTAGCGCTGCAGTCTCCTCTGCCACAGCAGCTTCAATCTCATCCTCACTCAGATCTTCCACAGGCTCAGGGTCCGGTTCAACTATGGCTGAGCAAAGATCAGGACATAGAGAGAGTTATTGTTTAGTATCAAAGAGCTGGTGTCTGAAAACCGACGATGAGTCACATAGATCTGCTTATGGATCACAGTATCGCTCAGCTGAATACTGTTAATGTCAAGTTTAAACATTGCTAATCTACAGCAGCATATAATGGTTTAGGAACAACATGTTTGGTGTAATGCATCAGTTTTAAATTTGAAACCTGTTATCTTTGGATTTCTCTGTAGACCCATCTAATGAAATAGAACCTAACACTGCCCATGTTAGGACTGGTAACCGAGTGCTTCAGGATCTAATTCTGAACATTTTTATATTGTCCATAATGTTTCATCCCCTTCATGTTGAAATTTATGTTCGAGTAAAACCAATCGATGTAGATCTATAAACAAAATATTAAATGGAGACAGCAAAAATAAGTTCTGAAAATAGGTAGAACAGGACTGAAAATTAATAAAAAAGTTAAGCCAAGTCCAAATATAAAAAGTGCCCATGTGGTTATAATCTAAATTAATTTGATAGCCTGTTACCAGTTCTGAAATGTATCAATACCTTGTTTCAGACAACAAAAATCTTTATCTGCTAAACTTGAAATCCTGTGAGGAACAGTCCTGCTGAGGTGTTCAGTTCAGACCTGCTGCTGAGGGTCAAACATGGATCATGTGGTACCTTCTGGTGTTGGTTCAGGTTCCGCAGCATCCACAGCAGGAGCAGAATCCTCAGTACGGGTGAAGGTGTCAGCGGCCTTTTCTTTCAGTCCTATATTAAATAATGCACAGATTGTTGGTGGTTTGTATGGAAGAGTAAAGAACAGATGAAGAGTGAACATGCTTGTGTAATACTGTAGAGCCTTTCAGAGGTATTCACATCTTGTCATTTTTCCCCTCACTTTGTGACATCATGACCAGAAATGTCTAGATTTCTCCCACACCGCAGCAAATTGTGAAGTCAAAATGGTTGTTTTAATGGTGACTTAAAAGGGTCTTTTAAAGAAGAGAGACTTTGTTAATGAATGAATAATTGATTTTAAAATACTGATCACCGATTACCCAAAAGTAAGGAACTCGGGACTGATTCATTAGTGGTCCACTAGTCTGTTTGAACAACCAGCATCTTGTCTTCGAAAGTGTTCTGGATTTACCTCCATCCTTCTTCCCATTCGGTTTGACTCCCCCACATTCACTTCCGTGATGTGTTCTTTGGACTTCATGTGTTTGCTCACTAAAACCCAACAAACTACATTTCAGTGCATTCTTAACAATAAACCCTTGCACATTTACAGACTTCATTTCCACCATGCCTTTCTTATCAAATTGTTTTAATGGTTTTGGTTTCCTTTGCAGTCAGCAGCCTCTCCCATCATTTCAACATTCTAGTATTATTAAAGCATGGCCCATCACAAACACTTTTTTTGTAACTTTTTCAATTCAATAATATTTTTTACAGTAGCTTTGAACTGCATTATGTTTTTCCCTTTTCTTCACTGTTAACCAACTTGGCTAAGTATAATCCTGGATTTCACACAAACATTTTCATGTTAAAATGTGTAACTACAGATGCTACTCCAAAGTAATGTCAACAGAACTGTGTATAGAAAATTAAATTGCAATAAAAAACTTGCAAAATTAACAGTGAAGACCTAAAGCTGATGTTACAGAGTTTCCTGTATTAAAAAACATGTTTTACATGAGTTAAAATGTGAGGACATGGAATAGAATTTGAGAAGCATCAGGTCGCATAATGTGTTTGAAGCATGTATGTTTTTTCTCTTTTTGCACTTCTGCTCTGAATAGATCAGGGGTGTCAAACTCCAGTCCTTGAGGGCTGGTGTCCTGCAACTTTTAGATGTGCCTCTGCTGCACCAACTGAGTAGAATAATTAGGTCATTAAGGCTCTGGAGAACTGATCTACACCAGGAGGCAGTAATTAAGCCATTTCATTCCAGTGTTTTGTACCTGTGGCACATCTAAAAACTGAAGGACTGGAGTTTGACACCTATGCAATAAAGCAAGTATACTGAGACCAATGCAGTGGAATTCAGTGTTCTGTTGAATCCTGAATGGATATGAAACAGAATTAAATGCACAGGAAGGAGCGTTATTATCCTATGGCATCAAGTCTTCCAACTTCATTGAAATTAAATGCTGTTACATAATGTACTTGTGAAGATACAAAGAACACAAAACCAACAGAAACAAAAAATATAAAAAAAAGTTTTAAACAAGGATGAATGATCTTTATTGGCCAGTGAAAAATCAGTTGATTCCATCTTACAAGCTAGGACTAGATTCTTCAGTCTAGTCAATTCTTTTTGAAAATAAACCTGAATATCTCTTTGATATGCTGTGTTTAGGGATGATGAAAAATAGTACCTAATTTAAGGTACTAGTTTTCATTTTCTATTATTTTAAACAATTTAGCCTTAAAGGCTACAACATTAATCTTCTTCAAATGTGGTTAACGCTTTATTTGACAGGTTGTGAACAACACTGTCATAAACATGACATTTCACCTGATTAAACTTTAAAAATTATGTAGCTTTATGTTAATAAAGCTAAAGTTTAATCAGTAATACTTTTATAAACAAATTTCAGTAAGAGCATGACTTCTTGGTTAATGTCAAGTTGTCATAATGAAGACATTTTGAATAATGTCAACTTTGCATTAAAAGTGTCATTATTACTGAATGACACTTTATGACAACAGTCATAAATATTTATGAAGACTTACTCATGTTCATGACAGGTTTTATGTCTTATTCACAACCCGTCAGATAAAGTGTTACCATAAAGGTTAAGCTTCAGAACATAAACATTATGACATTTTTAATAGAGAATTTTTTTTAATTCTGTGAAAACATTATGGCTTGATTTTTTCCAGACTGATCTATTTTTCTGGGAAATTCTGTAGAAAGAGTAGACACAATTACAAGCAGAAACATTGTAGCCTTCTCCCTGATCTCACCTAAAGCTTTTGTGAATATTAATATTTTACACTCAGACACTTAAAAATCTATTGAGCAATTAAGATTTTTTTAATTAACCAAAAAGAGCAAAAATATAAGATGTTATTGAGGTGTGATTTCATGACTCCTTGCTCTGATAGGCTGCATCCTTCCATTTGCACAAATGGAAGGACTTGTTTTCATACAAAGATCAGCTGACTGCATTCCCTTCATTTAACGGGTCATATTTAAACAAAACAAGAATCACAGGTGAAACAGATCAGGACCTATAGTCCCATCATTTAGAGGTTCTGATATTTATTACACAGGTAACAACTATACAATATAACTTATATTGACTACCAGCCCACCAATCAAAAATGGCTGTGACTGGGAATGCCTTTCTTATAAAATGTACAGAGCTCTGAGTTTATTTTTTGCCTCCTTTAACAGATTTCTCAGCTCTAATTTTCTTCCATTTTTCTTTGAGAGTCAATTTCACTTTTTCTTCATTTTTTACTTCCTTTCCCAGCACTTTTTCCTCTCTTTTCTTTGATTTCTTCTCCTCTCCCTTATCTTTGGTCTCTTCTTCCTTTTCCTCGCCCTTTTGTTTAACCTTTTCTTTTTGCACTTTTTCCAGAGCCCTTTCCATTTCTTCTTTCTCCATCTTTTCCTCCTCCTCCTTTAGTCTGCTGGCCACTCTCTCCTTCACCCTGGCAGTTATTTCCTTCCTGCCCAGGTCCAGCTCCTTTTTCTCCTCTTCTTCAGCCAGCAGCTGCCTGACTTCAGCCAGAGCCAGCTTAGCCATCTTCTTGGCCTCGACACGTTCATGGATGATTGCCAGCTGCTGCTTCAGAGCCTCTCGAAGCTTTAAGCCAACATCTCTGGGTGAAGGGGATTCTGGGACAGAACCATCAACAACACTGTTTGTTGTGCCACACCAATCAGAGGAAGGATGAGCAGCAACACCATGCTCAGGTTCACAGCAGGCAGCCGTGGGAAAGTCAGTTTAAATTCAGGATCTCCATCCACAGCATATACAGTTGACACCAGAAGTTTGCATATACTGAATAAAAAGACACATTTTTCTCCTCATTGTCTCAAGTTAAACCAGACCAAACTTCTCGTCGTTTTTTTAGGTCAATTTGAATTACCAAAATTGCTTATATTGTCCAAATACCACAATGATGAGAGAAAGCCTGTGAAACATATTTATTGAGGTCTTCAAAATCTGAAGTTTACATTCTTCCTCTGTATTTGGCAGCTTTACCTGGTCCATTCTATCAGACATAACCGCTGGAACCAAGACAGGTTTGTAGGCCTCCTCATTCTCTACAGGGCTTTCTCATGACCACACTTACACCTAAACACTGACTTTGTAGTCACTATGTAACCTGGCTGTATCTTGGGGTCATTGTTCATATACAAGACAAATTTAAAATCAGTTTAACTTCCTTTCAACAGAAGGAAGTTAAACTTCCTTCTGTCAAAAGAAAGAAGTTAAACTCAGTTGCTTGAAGCTGCTGCATCAAGCAGCTTGAAGCTGATGTAGCAGCTTTAAGCATCAGAAAGACTGGAGAAGCTCCATGATTCTCTTCCTGATATCTTGGCTCATTTCTGCTGACCTTCCCATCGTGTCAAACCAGGAAGTGGTATGTTTCATGGCCTTGAAATACATCATCAGGTGTGACTTCAGTTAACTAAAATATGCCAGTGAACCAATCAGAGGTTTCCAAAGCCATAACATCAACATCAGGACATTTCCTCATCATTTCAGGACAGTAAACACACAGTAAGCTTCTGATTTTGAAGACATCCATGAATAAATCTGACATATTCTCTCATGCCTCGATGAGAGAATGACTACTTGATAAATGTATCAAGTAGTCATTCTGACTTAAAGCAAGAGAAGTTTGGTCTGATTCCTTTCAAGCAATGTGAAGTGTTCTGTGTATGTAAACTTGTGGCTTCAATTTTAATCTGTAAATATCAACAAACCAGGAAACTGAGAATTAATTCAAATGAAAATCAAGGAGAGGTAGTTTTATTCTCACACTTTGTTTAGTTCAAGACCAAAACCATGTAGAAGAGGATTATACTCCATGCTACACTTGGACACAGCACATCTTCATGCAGTGGCTGTTGTAACTATACCTTTATTAGCTCCTCTGCACACCCCTTCTGCAGGTTTATCATCTGATGTTGCATAAAAACAAGATTAGGATTTTAAAAAACTGCTCCTATTCACCAAATATTTACTCATGTCAGCTTTGTTTCCTTCATGTTTCCTTCTCTCCTTAGCTGAACACACACACAACGAGGAAGAGGGAGAAAAACGAGCCAAACTAACCTGGCAATAAGTCATTTGATACTACACTGCTCAAAAAAACAAAGGGAACACTCAAACAACACAATATAACTCCAAGTAAATCAAACTTCTGTGAAATCAAACTGTCCACTTAGGAAGCAACAATCAGTGTTGCTTCCTAAGTGGACAGTTTCACCTGCTGTTGTGCAAATGGAATAGACAACAGGTGGAAATTATTGGCAATTAGCAAGACACACTCAATAAAGGTGGGGACCTGGCTGTAGGTGGGGACCACAGACCACTTCTCAGTACCCATGCTGTCTGGCTGATGTTTTGGTCAGTTTAGATGTTGGTGGTGCTTTCACACTCGTGGTAGCATGAAACGGACTCTACAACCCACACAAGTGGCTCAGGTAGTGCAGCTCATCCAGGATGGCACATCAATGCGAGCTGTGGCAAGAAGGTTTCTCACTGTCTGTCAGCGTAGTGTCCAGAGGCTGGAGGCGCTACCAGGAGACAGGCAGTACACCAGGAGACGTGGAGGAGGCCGTAGGAGGGCAACAACCCAGCAGCAGGACCGCTACCTCCGCCTTTGTGCAAGAAGGAACAGGAGGAGCACTGCCAGAGCCCTGCAAAATGATCTCCAGCAGGCCACAAATGTGCATGTGTCTGCACAAACGGTTAGGAACCGACTCCATGAGGATGGAATGAGAGCCCAACGTCCACAGGTGGGGGTTGTGCTCACACCGTGCAGGACACTTGGCATTTGCCAGAGAACACCGGGATTGGCAAATTCATCACTGGCGCCTTGTGCTCTTTACAGATGAAAGCAGGTTCACACTGAGCACATGTGACAGACGTGACAGAGTCTGGAGACGCCGTGGAGAGCGGTCTGCTGCCTGCAACATCCTTCAGCATGACCGGTTTGGCAGTGGGTCAGTAATGGTGTGGGGTGGCATTTCTTTGGAGGGCCGCACAGCCCTCCATGTGCGCACCAGAGGTAGCCTGACTGCCATTAGGTACTGAGATGAGATCCTCAGACCCCTTGTGAGACCATATGCTGGTGCAGTTGGCCCTGGGTTCCTCCTAATGCAGGACAATGCTAGACCTCATGTGGCTGGAGTGGTCAGCAGTTCCTGCAAGATGAAGGCATTTAAGCTATGGACTGGCCAGCCCGTTCCCCAGACCTGAATCCGATTGAGCACATCTGGGACATCATGTCTTGCTCCATCCACATGGAGCAAGACATGTGGTGCAAGACTGTCCAACTCCTGGACTGTCCATCCACTGTCCAGGAGTTGGTGGATGCTTTAGTCCAGGTCTGGGAGGGGATCCCTCAGGAGACCATCCGCCACCTCATCAGGAGCATGCCCAGGCGTTGTAGGGAGGTCATATAGGCACGTGGAGGCCACACACATTACTGAGCCTCATTTTGACTTGTTTTAAAGTTGGATCAGCGTGTAGTGTTATTTCACTGTGATTTTGTGTGTGGCTCCAAATCCAGGCCTCCATTGGTTAATGAATTTGATTTCCATTGATGATTTTTGTGTGATTTTGTTGTCAGCACATTCAACTTTGTACAGGACAAAGTATTCAATGAGAATATTTCATTCATTCAGATCTAGGATGTGTTATTTGAGTGTTCCCTTTATTTTTTTGAGCAGTGTATATGTAGAAAAACACTCAGCAGGTGTTCATTTCTGACATTTTCTGAATTTAGTGAGTCGAAACAATTACAGTCGTGAACAATCTTCTGACCACCTAATGTCTTTAAATTACACCTTTAAAAGTTCAAAAGCAATACTGACAAACATTAAATACGAAGATATAAATTTTAGTTGAGGAAAAGTATCAGCCAGTACCCCTGAATCATTGCTAAACTGTAACATAAAATAACTGTCAAGTCAACTACAAAAACCCCATGTATAAAATATATCTGGTGTAACTAGGGGTGTAAAGACATCTTGATGTATGAGACATTAAAACTAGAGCTGCACTATATACCATCATTCACCATGTCTGTGTGCAATTATTAATCTAACAAAGGACTTTCGGTATTGCAGTAATTGTTGGCTAATATATTTCAAGGGTTAGGGATTTTCATTTTCCATGTAAATGTAATGTTTAGTCACCTGGACAATCTCACAGCAGAAAATGTTCATACTGATGTGTAGCAGAGACAGGAATATAAGCCTTGTGCTTCTACATGTACCTTTTTAATTAAGCTGTTTAAATTGCTGTAAAGTTTTGAAGTGTTCATAAATTATTTGATGACCAAAAAAAAAACAAAAAAAAAACAATAAAGCTAATCTTTCAGTTTTGGGTTTTCTGCCTTAAAGGTTTGTGAAGTTTAATTTACCTCAAGTCAAAGCCTGAGGCGGTTCATTTCACTTCAAGAAAAGCCTGTTTTTAAAAGTCAGTTGTAAGCCAAGCATTCTTAACTACTCTAGGAGTTCACTGCAAACTGTGACTCATAAAAACACGCTCTTCACATTCACTGAATACACCTGGAGCAGGTTTCAGCTCAGTAAGCCTGTGACTGTCACTGACAGGAAGAACAATTGCTGAGACGGAGGAACTGGCATTCAGAACGCCTGTAGAGGGGAAGGAATACTTATCTAATCTGCAGCATCAGTGTCTGAAAATCAGTTATGATCCAATGTTTTAGATAAATGCAGCCACCTAGATGAGGCACAGGCCAGGTTAGCAGTTTCTGCTCAGACAGGCACATGGAGAAGATGGAACTGTCAGTGGATATTGTTCAGACAGAAGAAATCTAGTTGAGCTTGCTGTGTGACTAATTCTCAATATATGAAATACTAACTAAAAACACGGCTAGTAAGTAAATATGGGAAATAAAGTGTCATCTATCATAAATGAGAACAATTCTGGTCATTTGTCATTGGTAATAAAATGGTCACTATTGGTTCAGTGAGTGGAATCGTAAATGCTGTGCTCATGTTTCAAAATTTAAATGAATGGAATCATTATTTTGCTTGGCTAAATGGCAGAGCTGTACTAACAAGTCAGTGTCATGACATCTATTTGAACAATTGATTTCTCCAAGTACTGAGAAGTTGTAAGTCCAAGATTTAATTGTATTTTAGATCTAGCTTTATCATGAAAGTATTGTAGTTAAAACCACAAAATATTACAGTAAATTTGAGGTTGACTTACTCGAATCTGTAAATCGAGTAAATCTCATTAAATTACCTTCAACACAATAATTCTATCTTTGGGGAATAAATATGTGGCTTTGTGTCTGGCATAAAATAATTTCATCAATCTGATAATATTTCACAGTTTAGTATGAAGTTGAGATACATCACACATCGCCAGAGAAAGCACCTCCAGTTGTGGTTTCCACATTCCTACAGCATTCTGGGTACTAATCATTCATGTACTATAACATTTACATTTTGTTTCATTCCAAATACAAAAGGTTTATTATTACCAGTGAAGAAATTTTTCTCCATTTTAAATTAAAAGTTTTAAACTTGAAAGAGGCATAAAAAAGGCACAAATACATGCAAACAGTACAAGTGTGTAGAAGCTGATTTCAGTTCAGGTTTCTGGCATGCAGTGGAGCCTCAACACATTTCATGATTTTTACTGTGTTACTTACTGTCTGTTGTCAACAGCCTTGTGCAGAAAATATACAGTGACTGGCCAAAAAAAATAAATTGTCACCAAAAAGGTCACTGACATTTGTTCGGAGTGACCTTAGGTCACCTCTATGGAGTTGCTTCCATAAGCTTCTGCAAAGCCACCAGATTTATTTCCATCCAATGTTGCATGAACTTTTCGTCAAGATCTTCTTGTATTGATGATGGGAGACTCTGACCACTGCTCACAGCCTTGTCCAGGCAGAACATATCAAAGAGTGTCAGTGGGGTTCAGGTCTGAACTCTGGTGGATGATCCACAGCAGAATGCTTCAGTGATCAGCCATCATTCATTTCTTCTGGCCACATTTCTTCCTAAAAGAAAATGCTTCCCCACTTTCCCTTCAACTGATTATAAAACCTTGGCAGTTTATAACCCAGTCATTTCTGCATCTCTTTAGTCTGTTTCAAAAAGGCTCAAATTATTGCATCAAGCAGAGACAACATCCAACATCTTTTACACAATGACAGGATGTGTCTCTCTACATGGTTTAAAACACGAGAAGCTAAATATTAAATAATTTGTTGTCACCCAAGCAATAATTATGCAGTAAGACGTTTGGCCCAATTTACTTAGTTAGATCTAGCTGGTGACTTTGGTTTGGCCAGGCAGTGTATGTTTAAATTCTTATGGGCTGACGGAGAGAAACTGAGAGCAGAGTTCCTGAGGATCCTCTCCATACCAAGGCTAAGGAGCTGACATCATAGGAAAAGATCTGCTGATGCAAGAATCCAGTCAGTAAAGTTTGAGATCCAGTTTTCCACCGGTGTTCATCCTCTCACCCCAAGACTACAGCAGCAGGCGGCTGGCCGAGTCTGCTTGGGGCGCAGTCAGCCTGCTCTGATCGACTGGAACTGGATCACAGTTCCAATCTGGCCTGTATCACTGGCCTGAACCTGAATGGGACTGGTGAGACTGAAGGGAAGGGTGTGGGTTTTGTACAGAATGGAGTTGACCTTCACAAAGGAACTGAATTCTACTGAGAGAATAAGCTGGGATAGCAAAACCCTAGCTTGGAGATGTTGGTACCTATAAAAAGTTTGAAATGATAAAAGACAGAACCTGCTAGAGCAGGTTGGGAGAATGGCCTGCACCGTTCTGAGCAGCTGCTGCCATTACTACTGGTTATGGAGGCCCACTATGATGATCTTCTGACCCTTATTTCCATTGTTTTTAGCAACTCTTTGTCTGACTTCTTCCTGATCTTCTTCCTCCTCATCCTCCTGCTGACCATTCATGAGTCCTGAGGTGCCATGATCTTCCTTGTTCTCCAGGGGCTCTAGTGGGTTTATCACACCGAACAGGAAAGTGAAGAAACTGTTTAACCAATCAGAGTCACCTTCCTCCACTTCTTCTAACCAATCCAGAACCTGGGCTCCCCCCTGACCGCAGCCCAAACTGGTCAGGCCTATGCAGACAAGAGGGTGGGGTTTGGGGGAGGTGGAGGGGAAGTTCAGGGACCAAATGTGTGGAGGTAATAACCAAAAGCAGTGAACAACAAACATAAGGTGGAAAAAAAGAAAGTTTGATCAAATGAAGGAATAAGATGTGCTGAGGAGGGAAGAGAGGATGGGGGAGAGGAGAGAGAAGGAAGGGGAGAAACAAACGGAGAAGGTAAGAGAAGTTTAAAACGAAGGTCAGGTGGCGAGGGAACTATTTACACTACTAGAACCAGTCAGACCATCTGAACATGATCCACTGGAGCGCTGCCTGAGGCTAAAGCTAGGCTAACAGAAAGAGGGATGCCTATGGAGAAAAGAATTACTGATCACTATGTGCAGACAGCCATGGACACACAGCACACTGAAAGTTGAAGGAAAACTAAGGCTGGGTTTATTGTGACTTTACAAGGATACCGAATAAAAATCAAATTAGTTGCTAAAAATGTAAAACGAATCTGTTAGATTAGATTGGGCAGTGGAATAACACCAGCAAACCAATACTTGTTATTTGGATGCTGAAAAGAGCCTAACTCCTATATTTATAAAGTTCCAATTATGTTTTCATGGAGCTCTGATTCATGAATACATATCTTAAAAATTCTTGTGTAAAAAACCCAAATATGTGTATATTTTAACACATCTAAAAAAGATAAAGAGCCAAACTAACATACCATTTCTGATTGACAGTATGCCGTCGGAGGGGGTCACAAAGGAGATCATTGAGACATACTCCAGAAAAGTATTTTACTCTGCTCCTTTATAATTTGCAAAATTTTTGCTCAGCATAGTTTATGGTGTCAAGCCAGGTGCAGCAATTGCTATATAAAGTTGCACTGACTGCTCAAAAGTAACAGAAACTGACTGATTTTCTGTTTGAACAGCTGAACCCAGTGGCTGGAAGATTTGGAACTGTAATCTTCTCCTGGCCTATTAACGCAGCATAGTGAGGTAGCTGGTCAAAAGTAGCAGCCGATAGATAGTCAACACTACAAGCTGGGTCTGACGTGTCTTCTCATCAACACTTTAAGATGTTTGATTTCTGAAAGGACAAACGTGACTTTAAAGTTTGAAATACAGATGCAGCGGTTCTGCTTCTGAGCCACAGTGACGGGCTTCATAAGGTGTGCAAGCAGGGTATCGATCACAAATATTTAAAAATCTATCATTAATTGAATCAAAACATAATCATAATGTCATCATTTTAAGTTCTCGAAATGAACATTTTCTTAAAACCGCTACAATCTGTTTTTTGTGATGTCACTGACCTCTGCACAACCGTTTCCAAACAAACATGGCTGATAGAGCATCATGACTCTCTGTTGAGGCGCCCTATAAAACTTTTGGAGGTTAACTTTAAGTAAAGAAATGATGAGTAGACATTATTATGAACCACAACAGCAAAGCATAGGAGACTGGAATTAAAGCTTAGTTGAGGAGTTAATGTGAATATTTAAACACAAAATCCAAAATGAATACAGACACCAAATGAAATATCATTTTAAAGTTAGAGTTTCTGGCTCTGTTTGGTTATTTTTGACATGATTTTTTTCAGATGGCAATAGTAGCACAGGGAGGAGGTGGAGACAGATCATCTGCCTCACATTATACTGTCACAACATGGTGACAGTTTTAAAAATGTAAGCAAAAAAATATTTTTTAGAAAAGTTGTGTACTGCAGCTTTAATGGTGAACTTTGTTAAAGTAAATGCCTCAGAGTGTTTCTATACATCCGCATGCACACTGGTTTATCTTTATGACTGACTATTTTAGCAAAATATCAGCGATGTAAAAGAAATGTTTTAACTGCATCTCGTAGCTTCTTATTGGAATGAGATCTACATATTGACCAATTTTGGTTCAGTTTTGGGGAATTTGGCAAATCAATCAACAACCTGGTTTAGTGAAAAACAAAATGACTAAGTAAATTGTCAATAGAATGAAATTCACAGAAAGGTTTGAAAGCATACAGCATGAGCCAGCTTGTCAGTCAGTCTACTTCAGGACTCATTTTATCCTGAAACTTTGTTAGAAGTGCTGTAATCAGTGAAACATTAATCAACAATATGATAGCACTTGACAAAATGTAGTGTTTCATTTGTTGACTGTGTGTTCTATGACTTTGTACTTTTGTGTTTTTATGATGTGAAACACTCATTTCTAAATGAACTTGATTTGATTTTGCTACACAGAAAAGAAGGAACAGGAAGAATGAGCTTATAGGTGAACATCTGAGCCAAGCTATGAGTCAAAATACCATCCAAACATTATTTAAGGCTGTTTCAAGGTTCTGATGAGAACAAATCATACATTATCATCACCAGGATCCATATGAACAACATGGAAATGACATGAGGGTATAGAAGCTTCCTTTTCCATTTGGTCATTCAGAGGCAAATGGTCAGGGAAAGCTTGATGGATTATTTAAAGTTGGAGAGCTCAAAGAAACTGCTGCAGTAAACATTGAATATTATGAGTTACAAAAACATTAAATTTCCATTTGGGATCAATAAACTATTTTTCAACAGAATAGAATACCTTGTAAATGTTGAGACTTTCAGCCTCAGATCCTAATATTACTTACAGTACGTTAAAAACTCCCAAAGCTTTCTGATGTCAAAATCTTTTAGAAAAACACAGAATATTATTAAAATGTTAGACTGTTGGTAAATACATTCTAGTGCACTTAGCTAATTGAAAGCAGATAGCATGTTCTAATTCTAATTCTACTAAAATCCTCTAGATTCTGATCCCTTGTCAGCTGCTGTGAATACAATGCTGGTTAAAAAAATAAAAAGTAAATCCACTTGCCTAGAAGCACCTTAGCGTCCTCCACATCAAAGTCGCCATCTCCATCAGTGTCGTATGCTGCCAGTTTACCTACAGAAGCCACAAACATACGGAGCCATCCAGAAACAGAATTACTGCATCTGTCTAGACATCAGATAAAATTCTACATTCCTACTGAAGCTCAGAAAATGTTATCCAATTGGACTAAGAAAAGAAATTAAGTTAGTCCTGTAAGTTCATCATCATGTTATCACTGTTCAGTATTTCTACCCGGAGTTTAGTGTGTACTTCAGAAAGAGAGTCTAACAGCAAGGTGTGTGTAAAGTCTTGGAAATAGTATTTTATGATCAACTTTTAGAATACTGCAGTCAGCTGGGTGACTGGTTCAGTCCTACATTTAGATCCTAAGGAGAGAGGCCAGACACTGGTATTTAAAGAGGAAGACCCCATTTATAAAATGTTTTGGTCAAAGTAGAACAGGTACATCCAGAAAAATTACAGCATTGTGTAAAAGTGTAATATTTCTTACCAGCCATCTCCAAAAGGGAAACATTCATTTTATAGAAATTCATTACACAGAGTCAAAGATTCTGTGTAATGAATGAAAATGAAAAGTATAATGAATTTTGCATTTTGAATGATTATGACTTACAGATAATGAAAACCAAAATTGCATTGTCTCAGAAAATTACAGTAGATTAATAAAAAAAGATGTTTTAAGCACAAATATGAGGCTGCTGAAAAGTTGGTTCTTTTCTCTGCTCTCAGTTCTTGGTTGTGGCTCCTTTAGCATAAATTACTGCAGCATGGAGGAGATCAGCCTGTGGTTCTGCTCAGATGGAACAAATAAACAAGGTAGCTTTGATAGCTACCTTGTTGGGTCTTGAACCTCATCTTTCTCTTAACATTAACATTCTCTCTGGCGTGAAAGGTCAGGCCAGTTCTCCCTGTTTCTGGTACCACATTTCTTCCTTCCATTCCATTTCTTCCACTCAATTTTCTATGAATATGCTTGGATGCAACAACCAGCTTCTTCAGCGTTGACCTGCTGTGTCTTTCCTTCCGTCATGGACGCTTCCTGGTGGACGGCGTCCATGACTGTCTTCTGGCCATCTGTCCAGTCAGCAGATTGTGTAGCCGACTGACCCAGTGAGAGAGTGTTCAGGAAACCTTCAGCTGTTTGCAGGTTAATTCGTTTATTATGGTGTCAGTTTCATCATGAGATTAAATTAGCTTTTTCACAGAAGCAGAATTTTCAGAGAAACTGAATTTGAGTTTTTGTTTTCTGTAAGCTATGATCATCAAACGACAAGAAACAAAAGACTTGTTTTAAATCACTATCATGATTATATGGAATATATGAGTTTCAGTTTCTGAGATCACTGGTAAGAAACATTGCACTTATTTGTTGATGTACTAGTATTTCAAAATAACTTATTAAAAAGCTGTTGTTACCTGAAAGAACAAATACAAACAAAAACTATATTCTGATCTGAAAGGAAATGTTTTTCAGTCATGTTTGACTTACAATTCTCCTTCTAATGCACTAGATGTTCTAGATAGGGGTGTGGATGGGGTGCAGGTCAGGACTGCATGCTGCTCTCATCCAGACGGATGAAGTTTGGATTGGTAAACATGTTTGAGCAATACTGAGCATTCTAGAGTAATAATCTCTACAAAAACAACTAAAAATATCCATAACAACAAGAGAAACATGTCTAGTGTTCTTTACCTTGCAAGGTTTCAGACAGGTTAATCTGTATGCCCTTAGCCTTGTCTGCATGCAAAACAAGAAATTTGGAAGAACAGCAAAATTAGCAAAGGAAGCAAAAGAGATTCACAAGGCATACATTAATCAAAAATACTTACCACAGACAAGAATGTATAATTTTTATTAGGATGAAGATTAATCAGAAGACACCGATCCAACAATCAGACATGCATTTAAAAATACAAGATCAGGTTTAAAATTCAGGTTTCTCACAAACATTTTCTTCCTTTATAAATTCAGCACTAAATTCCAGACTCCTGCTTCAGTCTGATTTGCACAGAGTGATTCCAAGCTGGATCACAGGAAAAATATCAACCTCGCAGGAAGAGGTGAGTTTAAAAAGGAGAAAGACCTCTGGAAAGATTTTTAAACTTGCAACATCATGAAAAGCAGCAAAAGAAAGCTTTGCAGTAAAATATTGAGGAAATATTTCAAATATAGAATTAGATGAAACTGATCTTTTGAGGGCCCTAAGATTTGCCGTCACCTCTTTTAATCAGGCCGATAGGATCGTGAATCAAGTTCAGCAATCAGTTATATAAAAATAAGAAAAGGACTGAAAACACTGGGTAGTTATTACTGATTGTCCTGTTAGTGGCTGTTAGCTTGACTTGCCCGTTCCTGTCTACGTTGACCCTAAACAAAGCACTGTCTAATCCAGATAAGATGCTCACTCTTCCTCTGCTCATTAGATAAACAAGCTATAAATGAAAATAAATAATTGCATTTATGTAAAATATTGTAAAATAAAAAAACATTGTCCCAGAGTTGGTCTGCACAGTGGTGCAGTTGGAAGCACTGTTGCCTTGCAGCAAGAAGGTCCTGGGTTTGATTCCTGGCCTGGGGTCTTTTTGCACAAAGTTTGCATGTTCTCCCTGTTCTCTCTGGGTACTCTGGCTTCTTCCCACAGTCCAAAAACATGACTGTCAGGTTAATTGGTCTTTCCAAAATTTTCCCTAGATGTGAGTGTGTGTGTGTATTGCCAATACCAAGCGTAGTGATGTTAAAAAGCTATGAGCAGTCAGTATCTTCCATGCAGTGGGTCCTCAGAGTTACTTCATTAAATCCATTTAGAATTTCATCTCAGCCTTCTCAGTCAAAGCTGATTCAAAGTTCCCACAGATTCAATGGCAGCAGTAAGAGGGAGAACCCTAACAAGTTTCACATGGGAGGTCACTGTTACAACCTGCAGCGTAGTATGGTCTGTGGTGTAAGTTAGCATACTAATGCAAACTCAAGACTAATAATTGGATGCAATTCAGACACAATATACTTTTTTAGAAAAGCAGACATAAAATCACTAGAATAGATTTTGAAGGTAAAGTGGTTTTAAGATATAGTCTGACTAGCCTCTGTGTGGAACATATCTGTGAACTGATTGCACTTTTCTGGGTGATCACCTGTCCTTAAAAAGCCTGACATGTAAATTTGTTTGTCTGCAAAGTCGCTAAATATAGCAACAAGCAGTGGGACGACGTTTGCAGACGTTATCTGGTGGGCAAGTCTGTCACTGTAGAGCAAAAGGGACTGCTGCCAATTTTCGGACTTTTGGGGAGAGAAGGTCGGATTCTCATGGAGGTATTGGCTGATCGCCAGACTCCAAAATTTTGGGAAATCAAGGTTGATTTATCAGCCAGCCGAATTCTTGCTGCACTTCTAATGGAAAACTAATCTTTGTTTTAAAGCGAAGATGCAAATAACATAGCAGTAAAGTGTCACAGCCTGCTAGCAAAAATTCAATTCATGCTTTGCCTTTTGGTCTGAACTCACTGGATTGGCCTAACCACAGCCTATGTCACAATGCTGCATCTGCACATCAGCATTTGGTTAAAATTACAGTTCATAGAAAAAGAGGCTAAACAACCAGGATAAAGTACTGAAGGAGACATGTTTCATGAACTGCTATTTACCATGGACATAGTTAGATCCTATCAATTCACAATCATTCACGTTGGAGGCAGCAAGCGTTATAGCCACAAATACATGAAGACAGCAACAATATGAGTCTTAGGTGTTAGATGTGCATATATGTTCCAACATCTGCCCACCTAGAACTCCTTGATAGTCGACCAAGTCAAAGTAGACCACAGCCACAGAAGTCCAGACACCAAGCAGGGCCAGCACGATGAACCAGGTGAAGAAACTGTTGCTGCTGCTGGAACCGGAGTCCAGCTTCTTCCCATTCTTACTGGATAACAGGCTTTTACCTGCATCTGGAACAGAAACACACAAAGCATCAGGTTTACTTTTCATAAGCAAAGCCATTTAAATGATGACTTTAACTGTCTAAGGTCAGTGAATAATGCTTTTCCGAAAGCACCAGTTTACCTTGTCTTGCAAAACATATTCTTTTTGTTTGTATTTGTAATCAACAGCTGAGCAGTATCCCAGTGATCCTAGGAATGATGCTGTCTGGGGCTTCATGCCCCTGGTAGGGTCACCCAAGGCAGACAGGCTCAAGGTGAGGAACCAGAAAAGCGCAGGATTTATTGCCAGATGTGCGGATCACACAGCTCAAGCAAAGTTAAACTGACATCTAAGACATTTGGTATAGTTTTTAATCCATTAAATTGAAAAAGTTACATTTCAGGGCTTGACTTGATAATGTAAAAAAAAAACAGCAGAAACAAAATAAATAAAAAAAACTGTCAAAGTATTCCTACAGTCAAGTTGATGTGAGCCAGTCATTTTTTCTTATTCTCAATGCCCTTCCCTCATCTTTTGCTGTGCTCTGCTATCTGATAAAAAGCTATAACTCACTGGTTTGGACACATTTCCACAGGAAACAAATAAAAGCCCTGGTGTGGAAACTTTTGGCATACATATGCCACAAAAGGTGGAATATTCCACATTATAAGCATCCAAATTCTACAATTTTAATTATTAAAAGGGAGTTAGATAACATTTTTAAAATTGCAACAATGAAATTGTTGAATTATTTTAGCACCAACCTAATAAGTACTACGATAAATTAAAATTATTCTGCTCATATAAAATTTTTGTTTGACATGTTGATAGTATAGTACTTTGATGCTGTAAAACAATGGTATCTTAAATCACTATGAACATTAGCAGTGCCTTGATCCAACAGGCTCTGTCTGCACTGCAATCACCCTAATCAGGTGTGTTAAGCAGGAAAACTTTTAAAACATGGTGGGTCGTGTGGACCAAGGACCAGTCCTCGAGAGCTACCGTCCTGCAACTTTCAGATGCTTCCCTGCTCCAACACATCTGAATCAAATGAATGGCTCGTTGCCAGGCCTGTTCAGAGCTGATCCTGGTCTGTTGGTGTAAGGATGCATCTAAAAGTTGCAGGACAGTAGCTCTCGAAGACTGGACCAAGGAGCAAAAAGGCTACACCAGAACCAGATCCCAAAAGTTATTCCGGGTGTGCCAAAGATATCCCACAATGCATGATGGGAGAAAGGGCAGAGAGAATGAACAGGTGCTAAAGGGAGATTTGTGTTGCCAGATCAGATTTCAGAGACACCAAGCAATGCTCAACTCTGAACTATGTTCCAAATGTAAAGTCGACTAACATGAGTAAAACTAATGAAAAGTTTAATGCCTTTAACCTGTAAGGGAATTCTCACCTGTCAGGTAAAACTTGACCAGAACAATGTTGAAGTGTGATACAGAGGTTTGTGCTGCATTTGTACAAAAGGTTTGTTGCTTCAGAACTGCGTGAAAGCACAGTTGGACACAAAATGCCTAAATGCGGCCAAACCTCAAACATAGGTGTGTACCTGACTCCATTAACGGCTTCTAACAAACATTTAGAATACGTAATAAAATAACCAATGAAGTTAATAGGACAGGACAACCTGACACAACCAGACCAGCAGGTTTTCAGAAAGTTTTTCTTCACTCTGAACCTAACAACCAGTCCCATTCAATGATCCTGAACCTGCCCTCACCTTCTACCCAATCAGCCACTCATGAACAGACCCGTTCCTCACCTTGCATTTCCCCTGCAGGAATTGCCGTGACAACAGGCGGTGTGATGGACTCCACTGGGTTTGCTGAATCACCCATCCCTGCCGTATGAGAGCTTGACAACTAGTGGTAAACTGAAATAGCAGCTCTGAGTCCCCGCCTCTGCTGCCTCTTTTGTGTTCCTATCCGGCCCTTCCCTCCTGACTTGATTTATTTGTAGTTAGGTCAGTCAGTAAGTCACTCTTGCTGTATGGATGCAGAGGTCATTCAGAGCTATTTATAGTGCTGTTAAACAGCTGGCCCTGACATACAGGCAGAAAAAGAAACACAGTCACTGTCCTCCAAAGCCTGGAACAAGTGGAAGGGGGAGTCGGCAAGAATTTGCTCCCAAGCAGAGAAAAGAGAATACAATCTTATGTTTGACTGACATCTACATCTCTCTGTGCACTGAATAAGTACACAGAAAACCATATCTGTTTCACAAAGCAAACATTAAAGCCCAACCCAGCATGGGCTCAACTCATCTCAGAGTCTTGAGGTATTTGTTTTGCTCTGCTGTGTCAAAGCAGATAGCCTACATGACATTTTGTGTAAAGAGGTCACTGCCTTTGGAGTTGGAAGTACTGTTGCCTTGTTACAGCAAGAAGAGCCCAGGAGGCAGGTGCAGCCCCCTACCACCCTGCATGTACAAGCTGGTAAGGACAATAGATGGCTGAAGAGGCCATCACCCTAATTTCTTATAAACAGTCACTGTAAAAACATTGAACAACTCCTTTAAATCCTAGGGATTTATATGGATCTAGTGCGGTGGTCTCCAAACTTTTGGCCACATGGTCAAATTTGCCAAATTCAAAAATATTTATTGAATTCAAATCACTTTTCTCCCCCCCATAATAATAATAATAATAATAACACATTGATATTATTCAACTCACTAGACAATTGAAGACTATGTTTACAGTTTAGCAGTAAAGTCAGTTTGTGTCATCCAGACTTTGTCTTTAGGACATGTTTGCAGTCCAAATGATTCCTTTTGTGAGTCTTCATGGATAAATATCAGTATAATCAACATAATGCTGAACATTTTTCCAGTGCTTTCTAATATTTATTCTATCCATCCATTTTCTTTCGCTTTATCCGGGGTCAGGTCACGGGGGTAACAGCTTCAGAAGGGAGGCCCAGACTTTCCTCTCCCCAGCCACTTGTTCCAGCTCCTCCGGTAGAATCCCAATGCATTCACAGACCAGCCGAGAAGCATCCATCCCTCCAGCATGTCCTGGGTCTTCCCTGGCTCCTCCTCTTGGTGGGACGTGCCTGGAACGCCTCACAAGGGAAGCGTCCTTAAGGCGTTTTGACCAGGTAACTGAGCCTCACTGGCTCCTCTCGATGTGAAGGAGCAGAGGCTCTACTCCGAGTCCCTCGTGGAGGACCAAGCTTCTCATCCTATCTTCAGGATGAGAAATACAAGTGGCCGAAATGGCCGAAAATTCATTTCGGCCACTTGTATTTATTCCAACTATGTAAAACGCAGTGTGTGCAAAGAGACTGCTATCCAGCCTTTTCACACATGCACACAATAAATAAAAACTGTCAGGCCCAAATCCAGAAATTGTTGCATAACATACCGTTCTGTTCCTCCATGCCTTCCAGACTGTTAATATTATTAGTGCAACAGTTATTTCACACACATGGTGGGTTCCAGTATTTTTCAGACAAATAGGAGACAAATAGGTTGAATCTCTCCATTTTGTAGCACCCTGCACACGTTCAGATTAAGCTACTCCTCTTAAATCTTATGTAAGTTCTGCCGAGTTCCTGGCTCCCAAACGCAACTCATCCCCTGCAGGCTTTTTACAAGCATGCATGCTGTTGCATCCACACTCCCACATGCATCCTTTGAGAATATTCATGTTTCTCTCACTCTGTAACCTTTGTCACAGTTGACAAACATTTCACTAAATCTTTTAGTTAAAAGTGGGGACTATCAGGTTTCCGACTTTGGGAATCTTATACAAGCTATTGCAAGTATTTCCAAGCAGAAACCCTGGCTGGTTCACTTTTTATGCACTGGCATCTGTAAAGTTGGACAGTGGATTCCAGGGATGGAGGCTGGCACCTCAAAAGCAGTAAAAAGGAAGTTATATCTGGATTTGTGGGGAAAAGAATCCTGAAAGTCTCCAGTATAAATTGAAAATAAAATGGCTTAAAGATACAGTGGAGGTAAAATAATTAATTCCTAAAGTATCACTAGAAGTACTTGATAAAAAGGACTGGATCTGAAGTCTGAAAGAAGTCAAACATCCAGAATAAAATTCCATAATACTGAATACACCTTAAGAGAATAAGCCGTTTCCTGAAAACAAGGCTGAAGGGCTGCAGTTAACCTTGCAAAGTTCAGATTAGCTTAACTGCAGACACAACACCTCCACATGAAAACCAAATGAACACAGCACCGCAAGTCCATGCAAGGTCACCAAGAGGTATTTGCATTTAAAGATTTTTGTGACATTATGCAAATTAAAAAAAATAAAAATAATGACAAAAATAGAACACAACAACACACAGCATCCTAGAGAAAAGGACTTGGCTATTACCCTTTTGTCTCTGCAGAGTTCAACAGCTCCCAGGAACAGGGAAGGAAGAGTAAGGGCCCTTAAGGAAACCATTACAGAGCAAATGTAATGAGAATGATGAGAGTAGTGATCTTTGATTACAAACACTCACATCCATCTTTTCATCCATCCATCCATCAGGCATAATGTCATTAATGTCTGAATTGTCCTTTTTCCATGGAGGAATAATTAGAAAAGACAAATTCAATGAATCATTGAAACAAGAATTGGGAACACAAGTTTGAATTTTCTGTGGATTGTTTTCAGTCCATACAGTGTCAGATATATATATACAGCCCCAGTAATAATTAGATGAAATTTGATGTTTGACCACTCTTTGTGTAAGGAATGGTCAGTTTTTTGTTTTTTTTTAACTGGTTGATTCCTGGACAGTGCAGCAGACTAGCAATCTGTCCAGGGTGACCCCGCTTCTCGCCCGGAACGTGACCCGACCACATTAGGGACAAGGGTGTTAGAAAATGGATAGATGGATTTCATGACTGTCAGGTTAATTGGCCTTCCCAAATTCTCCCTAGGTGTGAGTGAGTGTGTGCATGGTTGTTTGTCCTGTTTGTCTCTGTGTTGCCCTGCGACAGACTGGAAACCTGTCCGAGGTGTACTCCGCCGCTCGCCCGGAACGCAGCTGGAGATAGGCACCAGCACCTCCCGACCCCGTTAGGGAGAAGGATGCTCAGAAAATGGATGGATGGATGGATTTCTGGACACTAGCTAAGTTTCTATGTAGTTTGTCCATTCACAGGCTGACATTAGGTTTCTGATACCTTGTGTATGTAAAACTTTTGGTCTGCCCCAGGAAATGGGCCACATTCAACTTATTCCATAAAGTAAAAGTGTTAAAAGTGTCCAGTATGTGGTTTCCTTGTATTTTGCAACAGGAAACATTTGGTGCATTTATGCAAATATTTGAGAATATATGTATGATTTTGACTCTGTTTAGATTAGAAAATACTACAGTAAATCTAGCCTTGTGCTCCCAACTATTGTTTGTAAAAGTTAACAATGCGTACATTTTGAATAGAACCAGACATAGTAACTATAAAAAACGGCCTCAAGCATTCAAAGAGTCTAATGATCAAATATTCAAACATCTGGCTAACAGTTCACTGATTGTACACCTTTATCAAGCGACTCAGTAAGTATTTGACAAGCCACTGTTAGTGTTTGATCAGAAGTCCTAACAGAAAAAATGCTGACGAGGCACAGGTTCCAGTCACATCAATTAGATCAAACACTCATTTTGCTGTTCAAACATTAAGCAAGAAAGGCTGAAAACACCACTGATCTTAATAACTGACAGAAATATGGGTTCCTGAGAAAAGTGTGCACTCAACCAGTCAAAACACACAAGAAAATTGCACATCAACTCACACACTTATGCATTTAAAGCAGGAGGCTGATGATGATGTCAGGACTTGCTATGTTGGGTTTTTGTGCATCATCGCATTGGTAACTTTTATAATACTGATGTCATAAAGGTTAAATCGGGTAAACCCCTTCTTATGGCTCAGGTAACAAATGCATGGCCAGCCAATAGTTAGCAAAACCTCAACTGTTTACTTCTTGACTTTACTTCTGCATAGTGAAAGTGTCTGAGACATTCAAGGGATAATCCAATCACAGAATTTTCCAATATTGAATATGATATACAGTTTTAATGGTCTTCTGATTTTATCATAAAAAATAGCATTTGCCAATTTGATAAAAAATATTTAAGACAAATCTGAAGTTGGCTTCCCTTTGTAGTCTCTGTTTCAGGAGATGGCTAATGGGCAGTTCCACCTAATTTTTCACTACCTTGAGAGTTCATTAAAAAAAAAAAACTACAATACTTAGACTCTTCAAATCTTGACTATATTATTCCACACTAATTATAGAGTCATTCAAACAGCCTTTCAGTGTAATTTCAGAACTATTTTGGATACAAACAGAGGTTTAGGCTATTCTGGCTTACTCTCAAGAAATCTGCTGCCATCTTCTGAAAAGGCTCAAACATGAATGAAGTAAGCACAACTTCAACTTAAAGTTATACATAAGTGCAATTACCTGTACCTGATCTTCCCTGTACCTGATTGAGCTGCAGTCCAGTTGTACCATATTTTTTTGGCAAGGCTGTTTTTGATCCAAAAAGGAATTTCGAGTGTCTTTTATGAGTAATCAAAGGCAACAGAAGCCTATGCTAACAGGCCAGCATTTCATACCTCGAAAAAGAGAGTTACCATCCAGTTAGTTCTGGATGGATGGTAACTCCATTCAGAAGTTACCATCCAGGTAAATCAATCAATCAAATTTTATTTGTATAGCACATTTCAGCAACAAGGCATTTCAAAGTGCTTTACATCATAAACACAAAGAATAAATAAACACAACATAGAATAAACAAAACAATGTTCCATATTGTTTCAAATACAATTCTAAACAGGTGTGTTTTTTGTTGAGATTTAAAGGAAGTCAGAGTTTCTGCTGTTTTACAATTTTCTGGAAGTTTATTCCAAATTTTTGGTGCATAGATGCTGAAAGCTGCTTCTCCTCTCATGGTTCTGGTTGTGGGGATGCAGAGCAGAACCAGAACCAGAACCTGAGAAGGTTGATACAACAACAGCAGATCTTTGATGTATTGTGGTGCTAAACCGTTCAGTGATTTATAAACTAACAGTATTTTAAAATCTATTCTTTGAGCTACAGGGAGCCAGTGGAGGGACTTTAAAACTGCTGTTATGTCTCTATCTTCCTGGTTTTAGTGAGAACAGGAGCAGCAGCTTCTGGATCAGCTGCAGCTGGAGGATTGATTTGTTGGACAGGCCTGTGAAGACGCTGTTACAATAATCAATGCGACTAAAGATAAACACATGGATGAGTTTCTCTAGATCTGGCTGAGACATTAGTCCTCTAAATGTGTCCTAGTAACTTCTGAATGTTACCTGCTGTGATCATTCATACCGAATGTTAGTAGAAGAGCGGATGAAGAAGAGTGGTCTAGAGATAAACAAGGCAGTTTTCCATGCAGTACATACATTTTCTATATATTTCCCTTCCTGGACTGAACGGCCTAAACTTCTCAGATGGTGGAGGATGTGCTGGGTTTCAGTGTGATTCTCGACGCAGGCCTCCAACATGACAGTCTGCAGCTGCGGTCTCTCTGCGCCTGACGCTTGAAGAGATGTAAGTAGTGAGGACGTAGCTGTACAGGATCATTCCGTGCTGATTGGTTACTGGACCACGGGCCGCCTTCTGTAAGACGCCCCTCCGCGGGGTATACTGACACGTGAATGTTTGGAAAGCGGGGTGTACAGTTACTATGCCGGGGAAAGTCAGTGTTTGTCCCGGAGTTTCCGCAGAGAGAGGCAAGAGGCCTCCCTGCTGCAGAGCCCGCGGACGGGGCTGAGCTACTGGCGTCATCTGAGCGTGTGAAGCGGCTCCACAGTAATCCCTCTCGCTAGATCCCCCAGCCAGCCAATAGCTACAGGACAGACGGTTACTCAAGCATACAGATGATAATATGGGCCACTATGAAAGTATTTGACATAATAATGAAAGCAACGAAGTTAAGGCGTTTTGAGCGAACAGCCATAGAATCAAAGCTGAGGCGTACTGTTTCTGACGCAGCCGTGTTGACGTGTTAACGCAGTGAGCTCGCGCTGGTGCTGTTTACATGCGTGCAGAACTCAGTGATCCGCTAACACACTCGGCAAACGACCCGGTGACGCAACTTTTTAATGCCTAAATTAGCGAAGAGAATAAACCAGGGGGAAAGTTTAAAACAGCTTATAAACTTCTCCAGGCCTGGCTTTCATAACAGCATCTCAACCACTGTAACTTCGTAAGACAGAATGAACAAGATTAGCAACAACGCACCTTTGCCTTTTGTGCTTGACTTTGAAGCTTTCTTTGAAGTCATGCTGGATGTGTGGCAGAACCGAACCTGGATCAGCGCACTGACACAGTTCCAGCAGTGAAAAGAAATCAAAAATTCTTTGAGATCTGAGTTCTATCAGGCAGGAGGACAAACCCCATCCGCTGTATGCCCGACAGCTCCCACAGCCAATGAAATGTGGCACTTACAAAAATAGGCGAGTCTTACAGATATCCAGGCCAATGGTATTCCAGAAGAATTTGACTTATTCAAGCGTGTGGCTAGTCTTTATCTCTGTCCCGCCCCCTCTGTTCCCCTGGAACGTGGCAAGATGGTAGATCCAGTGGCGTCGCCTCTGCTCCCTCTGGCACAGCGCTTAATGTTTAAATCCCCTGTCGTTAAGCGATCCTTTGATGTCTAAACATTATCTTTTTCATTGGCAAAAAAAAAAAAAAAAAAAAAAAAAACATGTAATATTATTTTACATTATTAACACATACGCTGCTTTTGAAGAAAACAGAATCTGAATGAAAATGTGAAAAGTCTTTACAATCATGACCAACGAACGCAAACAGGAACAGCAATGTAAACATTTACCAAGAGTTTATGTTTATTCCTCAGTTCAATTAAATTCAGTGTATAAAACACCAGTTCACAAAAAATCAGTTCACAGCCAACTGATCCAGATAATAATTGCAGTCTAAACTTGAAGCAACCTTTTCTGCTGATAAAATAACAACTCAATTTTAACGGGAAGAAATTCCTCAGCAGATCCAGTTGTAGATGAGTATCCATGACAAACATAGTCCCTCCAATCCCTATGTCCCTCCATATGACCCAGACATAGTCCTTTCCCCTGGGTCTTCCTCAGGGAAGATGTCTCAGACTAGAGTTTCTGCTTCACCACTCAAAAAGGCGCCTCCTTCCTCCTGAGGGAAGGAGGCGCCCTTCCCTGGTGAGGGAAGTTTTGTTGTGGTGAACCTTCGCTATGATCTTTGTCCACTATTATTTAGATGTTAAATTTGTATATGTCATAGCAAAAGTTGATCACTGTAATCAACTTTTTTGATAAGGATAAGAATGTCCTTACACTCTTGTCTGGTAAAAAAAAAAAAGGTAAACAAAAAGTCTGCTTGATTCCATTGTTTTGTGCTTTCTGTCATTAAAAATAAGTACGTTTTTCAAATGGGTAGAGTAGTTTTATATGTGAAAATAAGGCATGATTTGCATTGACTTGATTTGACTCTACTCCCCTCTGCACAAAGGGGATCATTTGGTTATTCAGCAGGCATGTTCATTGTTTGATCAGCTTACGGACAGTAGCCTCTGGGTGTGTGTTTTTGTTCTGTAACAAGAATGTGGGTGTGTGTGTGTGTGCGTGTGTATGCAACTGTGTGTGGGTGTATGTGTGTGTTTCCTGACAGCTGTCCTTGCCTACTATTTGTACAATAAGCCATTTGATATAGCCTAATCATGATGGAGAGAGGTGATCTAATCAGATTAACAGACTATCTTTTACATGAAGTGAGAACAGAGGCACATGTCTACTTAGTTTGAAGAGACGTAAGTAGTGAGGACGTAGCTGTACAGGATCATTCCGTGCTGATTGGTTACTGGACCATGGGCTTTCCTTCAGTAAGAAGTCTAATAATTGCAGTCTAAACTTGAATCAATCTTTTCTCCTGATAAAATAACGTGAACGTTTTGGAAATTAATCTCTCTTTTGATTTATCAAAAACGTCTAATTTACATTACATTGACTGCAGTATAATGATTATAAATAAACTTGTCTGACAAATCAAGTCATCAGGTCACTTAGCCAAAATCCAAAAAAACAACAGACAATTAACAAAGTAAAAGATACTTGGTTTACAAAGTTGGGTTCTTTCTTAGAGATTTTTTCTCTCAATTTTCCAGCAAATCTAAATTAGATATATCCAGATTTATTTTGGTAACCCAAAAGTAATCATTACCTTTCTAAATCTTTGTTTATTTTCTGTTTGACCGTTTCCTGTAATAGTTGTATGTTGAATTCTGTGGGTAGAGGCTTGCATGGGGCTGTTTTCTTTGTTCCAGTTATTCCTGCTCCTGCTGGATTTCTGGTCATTCCCTCATGCTTCTATTCATTCTGACTATTCAGCCTGTACAATACAAATGCAAAGTTCTGGTTCCAGTGGATGCATGTCATGGACTTTCTCATTTTTAAATTTAAATTAGTGATTATCTAATTTAAATTTTATATGATGCTTTATATAAAGCTTTATATGATGTCCCTATAATGCAATATTTAGATGCCATGTAAACAAAAACATGCTCTATCTAGAAAAGTAGGATTATGAGGATTAAATAAATGACACCAGATGGGATTTTTAAAACGAATTCTTTTCTTAGGACGAGTTTCTTCTTTGCACTTTATGTCAGGCAGATGGCGCTGAAATAATGGAATAAATACTTTTCAGTGATAGTTGGCAAAATTACATTCTACATGCAGGTATATGTAAAATATTTTAAATATTGTGAAAAAATGCAATGCATTTTGTTACTTACTTCAATTGCAATTGTGACATGTTTGTTCTGCCTTACAGTGTATTTACTGCCTGTAAGGTAAGCAGCGGCTATGTTAGCCAAGTGTAAAATATTCATTAAATTAGTGTACCGAACTATTTCTGTTTGTGCATTTACGTACAAATTACATTTTTGTACTGGGGATGTTTGATTATTTTGTAAAAAGAAAACGTTTGAATGTTGACAGTCTGTTTATTGCCTGCAGGGGCGATTCTAGGATCTGACCTTTAGAAGTGCTTAGCCCCCAGCAGGGCTAAGGACCAAAAGAAGTTATTTGTTGGTGCATTTTTCTAAATGTCACTGCTTATTTACACTCACATAAGACATTAAATAGTTTTGTCTAACTAAAACTGTTAACTACATACAGATCTAGAAAAAATTAAGAGACCACTGCACTGAACCCCATTGAAAACCTCCTGGTTATTCCACCAAATATTGATTTCAGAACTCTTTCTGAATTAAAACATTAGTTTTGTTGTTTCTAGATGAATATGAACTTGTTTTCTGTGCATTATTCAAGGTCTGAAAGCATTGCACCTTTTTTCTTATTTGACCTCTTTTCATTTTCTGAAATAAATACTAAGTTTTTGCTTGGCATTGCAGAGACATGTCGTCAATAGTTCAACAATCTTCATTTTACTTGAACATTTAGCTATAAAGAGTAAAATCAGAAGACTGAGTTTTTTCCTGAGCTGTATATATATGAAACAGAGTCACACTACATCATGCCTGCCAACATCTGCTAGCATTAATGAGACACAAGCAGCTGTGGAGTGACACACTCCGAGTGGAGTCTGCTCACCCAGAAATGAAAATAAATCCACTTAAATCTATGCATTTTATTTCAAGAACATTTTATTAAATTCATAGGATTAATAAACCCAAAACCAGTTTATTATCAAGGTAGAAGGTCAGGTTAAGGACTAATTCCTGCTTGTCATTAATCTGAACTTTATTTGAAAATCATACTTAGAATTTACATTACCATTATTTTTATCTGAACATTATGCAGCTGTTGGTCTTTTTTCTTGAAACAAGAACGTATGTCCATCTATGGAAAAGTGAACATTATGAGTTGGGGTTTTACTATTTCACTTCACAGTTCATAAAGTGGGTTTGTCATAGTTTCAATATAAAACACCTTTTTCTTCGCAAAGAAACACCCTGACCCTAACATTCTGTGCTGTTCTTTAGTTTTACCTTATTTAAGTGACTCCAGAGAGATTTGGGAGAGTAATTACAAAACAACACAACAGTCTCTAATCAAACTTCAGAGCAACAAGCATATCAGACTAACCCATTATTTATCCAAATATTTTGCACACTTGCAATATTTTGTACTGAACAACAACAACATAATATTCAAATAAATAAAGCCAATGCTGTACACAATTTCTATTCATAAATATCACAAACATAATTCTAAATTAAGTACTGCATTGCCCATTGCAAAAAATCACTAAGCATAATATTGTGCATTACAAGTTGCCATCTGAATAAAGATGCTGATGACACAAGTCTGGCCCTTATTGCTGGTTAAAATAATCTATATAATGGTCTTTACTGTTTTCGTTAGAGGCTGACTACAATGTCCCCTGTGGTAAATCTGGTCTAGAACCAGTGTGTTCTATGGGGAACACTTAAAAATGAATTACACAAAAAGCATAACAATATATGCTGATGTATATAGATATATTAAGTCAGTAAAAGAGCCACTTGTGTCTCCAGAGATTCAAGTTGCAGATTCCTGACCTACCAGATGGGAAATGAGATTCTATCTAGGGCTATTGTAAACAAATATTTTAATAATCGAGTAATCTATTGATTATTCTTATGATTAATTGAGTAATCGGATACTTAATTAACATTGGTTATTAACATGGGTTAATTGAGTATCCAACTCAATTAACATCGGTAAATCTAACATAACAGCAGTATTACTATTGCATATCAATATCAGTCCAATTTTTCAATTTTGAGATTTCCTAACAGTAACTTTTCTGTAGTTTAGAAAACAGTGGCGGAGCCAGAGGGGTGGCCGGGATGGCACTTGCCACCCCCAACAGACCCCTGGCCACCCCTACTGCCACCCCACTGGAAATGGTAATTTTAAAATATAATACTTATGAGATCGGCAAAGATTTGCCAGGAAAACTGTAATTTCCGACTGTCCCTGAAGGCAGCTCGATGCCCGCGGCTTTAGAGTTACACCATTCAGGAGTTTTGCAGGTATTTACATTTTACCGCTCAGCAGTAACCGCTGTTTCCTTCCTAATGAGAGGCGGCACTTGTCATACATTTCTAAAAAGAAACAAAATGGTTGTGTACCGCTGCATAGTGCCTCGTTTATTATATTAGCCATGCTAGTGCTGGTAGATCGTGTTTTAGACAGATTCTTTTAACATATGTTTTAGTGACATGCTGCCCTCTAATGTTTTATATCTCCCAGCTCTTGCTTGAAATGTGTGGTAAGAATATGAGAAAAACCATTAAGTTTTATAATGACTGAAATGTAAGTCGGCTATGTCATATGAAAACTTTGAATTATAACCTAACTAGTTATATTAATTTTAATTAATGTATTTTTAATTTAGTATTTTAGCTAGCTACAGAAAACTAAAAACTATAGTTTAAATAATAGTTAAAATAGTGTCTCTGCCAAACAGTCATGGAGTCTAAATACCAGGCTGTCTTATTTTGTGTAGAGCCCAAATGAAGAGAGAAGGGAAGATCTCCCAGTTCTTCTTAAAGAGGCAAAAACCAGGGCCAGACCTGGACCAGACAGAACCCTGCAGCAGTGACCAGGACCAGACAGAACTCTGCAGCAGTGACCAGGACCAGACAGAACCCTGCAGCAGTGACCAGGACCAGACAGAACCCTGCAGCAGTGAACAGGACCAGACAGAACCCCGCAGCAGTGACCAACCTGGAGAATCCAGCCAAGAGACTCCAGGCCCAAGTGTATCACCAGCGGGTTAGAGTCTGTGACAGAGAGTTATTAAGTATTAAAATACAATAAGCCTAATTCTAAAGGTTAGCATGATGCTTTTTGCATTTTTTATTGTGTCTGTTTATGCATTTCCAATGAAGTTCCAGAGAGAGATGAGGGTGATACAGATTCAGAGTCAGACTCTGGGGAGGAAGACAGTGAAGCAGAAGGAAGTGGCACTGAACTGCCCCCACCCAGCACAACCTATTGCACACCAGAAGGACCAGTTTATTTATTATTTATTTATTTATTCTGAATTTGTTTTTGGTCATATTCTGGGCTCTGAGTTTACATTTACATGTTCACTGTTCCATAGTGCCGTTTAACGTCTTGTTTGGTCATGGCAAATCTTTGTTAAATAAACCATTTTAATTTGAGTGTGTGTGAGAAAATATTTGTTTCCTTTCGTTCATCATTTGTATATGGACCCTTCTGATAAAGCCTTGGTCACCCTGTAGCCACCCCTTGAAAAAAAGTCTAGCTCCGCCACTGTTAGAAAATTAACCTGTAACAATAATAGCTCACTTTCTAAGTTAACCTGAAGAAAAGTTGTACAAAAATCTGAAATTGTATTCAAGTTAATAATTAAGAGGCATTCATCTACCGTCAGTTTAATCAATGAACTCTGACCTTACCCAGACATTTATAGCTTTGTGTTCAGCAATAATAGTGACAGGATTTAACGTCTTCGTTCGTCACACACAGAAACATCTACCAGGTATGTAACGCCTAGCATTAGTGGCGACCAGGAAGACATGAAATTTATTTTCCTGTTCATCCTCAAAGCTATGCATCTAAAGCACAGCCGCCCGCAATGTTCAGTCTACCTGCTCACCTGTATAAATAATCCCGCAATGTTCAGTCTACCTGCTCACCTGTATAAATAATCCCGCAGTGTTCAGTCTACCTCCAGCCACAACAATTTAGCTGACGTTAATATTTCCTGTTTTATTTTGGTCAGTATTGTTACATTTAGTCAGACAATTACGTATTGGTTCAATCCGAGATGTGACATTCAACTTTTTTTACAGAGGGTTGGTAATTCGATACAGGGGTGCTGAAGTACAGTTTTAGGGATGCTAAGGCACCCGTAAAACAGGCCTAGATACGCCACTGACTGCCTCTTAGGTGGACGAAATAAACGCGGCAAAGTCTCTGAAGAGCCCTGTGTCTGATTCCTCTCCTGCACGGACCACATCCCGCCTTCACACATAAAACACAACACAGAGTCCATAGGGTGTCTTCCATCATCTGCAGGTTTAATGACAGAAACCCTGGGTGACAATAACTGTTACTGTTGCCAATAACTGTAGTATAGAAAAGCTATAAAAAGAACATCCATTTCGGAAATGTGCGGTGCAAAATTAAATGGTCTTTCCAAATTCAAATAGCTTTAATTTCCTGAGGGAGTCTTCCCAAGGGATCAATAATGTAGAAGTCTAAGTCTAAGTCTCAAAAGCTGACATTAGAAAACAAAACTAGTTTTTTTTAATTTTTTTATTCAATACGTCATGCTGGACTGTACATAACTACCCAGAAGGTGGCAGTAAAACAAATATTTGACACTCAAACTTTACAAAAGGTGAAATAAAGATTAAGGCAAAGAAACTGGATGAAAACGACTTTTAGTTTAATTTTATTTCACCTTTGCCCTCATTGGGAAACTCAGTGAATGGTGCTGGAGGAGACCCACTGGTGGCGTGTCATTTACTCCAGTTGCAAATGTTTTGAAGTTTGGATGATCTTCCATTATAAAACATTTTTTTCATTAATTAATATACCAAATATTCAAAACAGTACAATAATTAAATGTGTGTGTATCATGTGGACATAACTGGGAAAACTGCAAAGATTTTCTTTCTCACTTGAAATTAGAACTAATGTAACTGAATAATCAATGTAACCAGCAGTAGGCCAGCCATGTTTGTATGACAATAAGTGACTGTGTAGTATTACTTACACAAAGAGAGTTAACATTCTGACCAACATTGTTAATATGAAATGCAAAAAGTGTTGGGATAAAGTGTAGATACTTGAGGAACATTCTTTGTAACTTCAAAACGGAGACAGAGATTTATGCCAACAGCAAAAAAACATCTTTTTTTCCCCTCACCAGCGAGGAGAAAAAATACCATTGAGAGGAAGAAACTGCTTATGACTGAGAATTGTTTTTAAACCAATTGATGTTTGGGACAGAAAGGCCTGTATAGTCTTTACTGAGTATTGTGACAGAAAAAACTTTTCTCACTCATCTTTGTCCTGATTTGAATAGCTTTTGAGTCAAAACCATTTTATGATGGACATTCACTTAAAATTTGCAGAACCTGAAAAAAAAGTTTTTGTTCTGTGCTGTCCAGAAAATGTAAAGTAACACACAACAGAAACAACTCTCCAAATGTTGACACATTGAAGACCACACTGTCTTCTTCGGTTCATTTTAAGACTCAAATAATCTACTTATTCTCTTTTATATGAAATAAGCCTCAACAGGTCAGGTCAGTAAAATATATAAACTTCTTTTTTCTTTCCTGTCAGGTTTCAATGTAATGATTAACTGCTTTTCTCTGGGTGCGCACTTGGTCATAGGTCAAGTTTCATAGTGTTTGAAACTGAGGACAGTACTTCCACAGACTTGTTTCTAAGTTGTGTAACGTTGACTAAGCAATATTTCAGAATCACATAGAGGGGATATTAGTGGTTTGGTAAGAAAATCTAAATGTTGGAGGCTAAAGTAGTCTACAATATCTTCTAATTCATCGTTACCCTAATTAAAAATCAATTTAATATTAGTTATAATTGAAAAAAAGTGAGTCATAAAGAAATATTCCTTTTGAATTTGGTGTTGCAACTATCAGTTAACCTGTTTTAAGGAGAGCCCGTTGAACTGTTGTCGGTATCAGCTGATATGCAAACTGCCAGCAGAGATAAGAGGTCATGATAAACTGCTATACATGATTTCCACCACACAGCATGTATCTGTAACATGTAGAACAACATCTCTAAAAGGCTTTCTGTGCATCTGTCTGAACATTCGCAGCTCATTCATCATCAGGCAGATCAGCAGCTGCAGAACAGAGAATGTTTATCCGAGTTTGGGCTGATTGACATGAGGTTACCTCACTGACCAAAGGTCTGTATAGTGTGTACAAAGCAGAGCGGCACAAAAACACCAACGAGGAGACAAAGAGTGACAAGGAAAAGAATCGTCTGTGATGTCCACTGTCATTGAAGAGAAGCAGAAATAAGATAGAGGGACCTAACTTTGTCCATTTTGAATATTTAATATGATAAATGAAAAAAATCAAAACCAGAGACACAGATCTATGCTAACAATAAGAATATAAACATGACCAGAAGGATGCCTGCTTCACCCAGCACACTTTATTATCAATTGACAGACATCATATTGTCCTGTTTGATACAGCCAGTCAACTCATCTCAGGATGTGGCAGAACATGTCAGAATGCATTCAAATCACTTTCTGAAAACATGCAATTTAGAGAAAATAACAAATACAGCACATTCAAAAGTGCAGCTGTCAATTGTAGTTATGGATTTCAGAACTTTGTGAAAATGATAGTAGCAGCAGCATTATGACACCTGAGTTCACACAAAAGACCAAAAAGTGTTAGAATGTGAAAAACAAGACTAATAACAATGATCACAAAATTCTCTACAAGATTATGACAAAAATTACTGTCCAGTTATTAGAAATTAAAGTGCTGTACTCACAATCAAGGAGATCTGCAACTGAGGACAATGACTTTTTAAATCTACATAATGTGCATGTGTTGTAAGCTGTTCACAATACAGATTATTAGTACAGGGAATAAAACACAGATATGCAATAAGACAATAAAAGTTGTACAAGCGTGTGCTTGTCACTATCAACAATGACTAATAGACACAATTTGAATAGTTTGAGTTACAATATTAAAATTTTCTTTGGGTTATTCATATAATTTGGTTTAATTTGATTTCAGCTGGAAATTTTTTTTGGGTATGTAGCGACATTACCAGCTTTGAATTTCTGGAGACTGATGTTTCTTCTTAGCAAAGTAGGAGAAACTCAGTCAGACTGTCAGTGTCAGTATTCAAGACTTGCCACAGATTCTCATGTAGATTCATGTCTAGACTTTGACTAGTCCATCCTTAAAAATTAATATAGAATTTAGTTGTTGCTTTTTCTGTTCTTTCAGGGCTATTGTTCTACTTGAAGTTGAAACTTTAACCTACAGTTTTGTGAACAGACCTATCTTTACATGTGAAAAACTTTATGTTTGGTATTAGCACTCATTTTATGTAGTGTCAGATGGAGGGATAACCAAGTTTTGACTTTAGTTTCCCCTTTTCAAAATAAATGAAGGTGTATATATAAATATATATATTCAATAGACTTTATTTGTCATGTTGTAACATTTAAGCCGGGGTTTTATGAAGCACAAACCTTTTAATTATAACTTTATAAAAAAGTACCAAATCAAGACAGTGCTGATTTGCAGCCTGAGACAACTCTTATATAGGGAGGAAGGAAATGTGAGTTTTGTTTGGTACTTGTGAGAACTTTGTCAGAAAAGTTCAATTTGATTATTGCACTACATTACATTATTTACCTAAGGAAAGTTATAAATGTCTATTAGTGCAATGTTGCTTTGATATTGTCTGGCAAGCAGAGAAACAACAAGTATCTATGGAATCCAATATAACACCATATGTTTAGTGACGGCTTAAAACTTTCAGGCTATGAAGTAAAACTAAACATAACTACATTCAAGAAAACACAAATAATCAGATATATGAATGTTTAAGGTCATTTTATTATCACCTGCAATCCAATTATTGCACAGACTTGTTTTGTGTGAGTTTCGCATATGAAAAATATACTGACATTTTTAAATCATACTTCATAGGTTAAATTACTCTCAACAAAAATCATAATTTAGCATTTCAAAAATAATTATCAATAAATTCTATTTCTTGAAAGCAATAATAATAATCAAAATACATTGTATTCACAGAAACTGTTGCAGAAATACTGCATATTTCACAACTCCCTAACATTATTACATCAACATCTATGTTAGTCATTTCTACAAGACTGATATTAGTCCAAAATATATTCATAAGTATGAAAGATAGAGACAGTTTTTTTGGAAAAGTTGTTAAAATTGTAGATATGGAATGTAATTGAATTCAAATGAACACATTATTAAAATATTCTAGAAGCAGTAGGAACAAGTTTGATTATATGAGTGGAACAGTTATAATGTTATGACTTCTGCCTTTAAAGTTTGGCTGTAGTAAAGGACTGAGCAGGTCTCTGTTTTTAGAGATTGGTCCAAAAAATGTGGAGGATCTCAGCCAGTAGAACCCACATTAGAATGAATGAACTTGGTTCTTTTGAGACATTATCAGTAGGTAACGTTTTACTTACTTTGCCTAACTCTTTCAACGCCTTCATTTTCTATTAGTATTCAGTGTGTGATGATAAATCAAGTCCTTGATTAAAACATTAAACATCCTAGGGAAAAAGAAAGAAAACTTTCCCTCAACTATTGTAAGATATTCACAAATCAGAAACCAAGCTTGAAGAATGTGTAACAAATATGAAATAGTAGTCCAGACTTTTCTTGAGTATTAATCTATTTCTATGGAGTTCTAAGACTAAGAAAACTTACACAGCAGTATTTGAGATTATTTTCTATAATCTCAAATTGTGTTTTAAAGAGTCACTTTTAGGGATGAATCATAAAACATATAATATAGACAATATTATTGGTAAATATTGTAATATTTTTTGTTTTGTTTTTTCATTTGTGCTTTCTGTGAACAAATGAACAGCTACTCAAAACAGATACTGTTGAAAGCCGTCAACCACTAACATTATTAGTGGTTGATAGTTACCCAGTCACAACAGGCTCACAACAGTTATAAATAAAATGTCTTATTTCCATTTTAAACTTATCATCATCACTTATACAACAAAAATAGTTTAAAAGTGCTGGAGGCTTCCTAGTAAACACAGTCTTTGTTAGCCAACTCTGCTGGACAACAACTTCCAATCTTATTTGAAAATAAGTTTTAAATTTAGATAACAGGGTGCCAAGCTTAAAACTCACACCTTCATATCACAGACTCATATTGATAGCTCGGACTGAAAGTTAAAAACAGTTAAAATCTTAAATTTGGTGGACCGATTCTGTCCGTTAACATCTGAGGAAGGTTTTTTATTTTTTTTAGAAGTTCTAGCTAACAGCATATGAGAGCAGGGCCAATACATGCAATTCAAAAACAGGGCAGTTTGTTCTCTTCCCTAGATTTTCAAGAACAAAATGACATTCTGTTCTTTTAACATTTTAACACAATATTTTCTGTTCTTTTAACATGTCTGTTACGGTCACTGACCTCTAGGGGCTCTCTTCATGAGAGAGTCCTCTCTCTCTGTGTTTCAGATGCACAGGTGAAATGTGTTGGAGCTCATCAGCCACCCCATAAAGAGCTTCATACAACCAGTGTTGGATCCCTTCTTGTTTGGGCCTTGACCTGATCTGACACTGTGACTGACTGAGTGATTTTGGCTGTGAGCCTTTGAAGTGTGTTAACCAAAACCTGTTGTTTTTTTTCTCACAGTGGAAGCTGGTAGGGGTTCTCTGCCATTTGTGTTCAACCATTTTTCTCCTGTTTTGATGGCTAGCCAGGGAGTTCAGGTTTTGTACTTTCTTTTCTTCTATTTATCATTAGAAAGTTCTTTTTAATTTCTTAGCTAGACAGAGGGGGGGTGTTTTGTTTGTTATTTTGGCCTTGGAGACCCTGAAGATAAATACTTCCCTGTGTTCTGTTCTTTGTTTTAGTTGACTTACCTGCACTGTAAATAAATTATCCACATTTTGCTACAGACAACTGTTTGTTTTTTGTGTTACAACCAGCGCCGGATTTTACCCTTATTGGTCTGGGAGGGTTGTAACAATGTCGCATTTGCATTAGAAAGTGACTTGGATAGAAATCAATTGTTATTAACTTTGAAGATTGAGGCAAACTGTACACCACTACCAAGCTCCCTCCAGGTATGACAGACTGGACAGTGTTCAGCATTTGAGGCTTCCATAACTGTCTGGTTCAAAGCCAACCAAGTGTAAAACCTAAATACTTTATTAGTGCATCAAATGAGAATAGAAATAGTAGCTTTACTTTCTGGACTTCAGATTAATCCCAGCCTGTCCAGACATAATTCTGACAACATCTTCTGATTGATGTTTATTAGAGTAATTTTATTGCAACTTCATCCTACTGATCAGAATTTGAGCTAAAAATGTAACAAGACAGAAAGTTAATTCAGAAGTAAACTTCACTAACAACACACCATCACTCAGATGATTTGGTCCTCAAAGGTATAAAGCAGCTCTGACTTTAGTCATGATGTCATCCAGCCAACAACTTATACATCAGCCATCGGTGAGTGTCATTGTCTCATTTTCCTCTGAGATCAAAGCATCTCCAGTTTTTGTGGAGATGTCTCCTGTTGGGTGGGAAGCAATCTGTTTCAAGAGGTTCTCAGATTGAAACAGTTCCTGGGTCCAAGCCTGACAGACTTCTTCTATTCCCAAATCCTCTCCTCCATACTCTGGAGGGAGAACATCTGGTGAGAAGAAGTCACTTAAGGTACGGTGAAAGTCTGTACCATGCATATGAACCTATGGCAGAAAAAATACCATAAACCTTGTGGTACCTCCACAGTGGATATTTGTGTGTAAACCAGAAAGTAAGAAAATGGTTATTGTCATCTCTGTGCTGAAGCAGATTATTGTGTGGAAGCGGACAATGATGGTGACTCTCACCCTCTGCTTGATCTTATCTGGCAGAAAGGGACGGATCATAGTGAAGACTGGACGGAAGAATATCGGCTCATTAACCAAATGAATTCCTCTCACTTTTAGTGGAAAAGAGTCCTGAAAAAAGGATTATACAATCACATTATTTGGTGCTGGACACAATATCATATAAGCAGTAGAGTTGAATCTTGGGTGTCATTTTCATCCCATCTCATCTTCATACCGAAAGCACAGAGGATATCTTTCTGGCGAGGGAAGGGTTAATCTGCAGGGCATGGCCCAAACTCCACCCCTTCAGGTCAAATATTGCCTTCAAACCTCGTCTCTGTGTCTCTGTCTCCCTGGAGATGATTTCTGATGTCATCAGGCTGACCCTGAACACCTGGAAGGCCGACCAATCTTTTGGGTTCCATTGCCCTGCAGAAGTAAATGTAGCATTAGGCTTTTGGATGAATGTAACTGCAAATAGATGAGAGACAGAGGGCATCCTGGGTCAGTCCACATTTCATCACGACAACACAAAGGCCAAGACCATGCACACATACACCCACCTAATAACATTGTAGAGCAGACAAAAATCTATCATGCCTTATTATCAAACATGAAAGAGAGAAACTCAGAGAACAGACCTGAACTCTACACTGAATGACCCAGGCTGAGTAACATCTGCTTCATTATGCAAAATGAAACAAATATTACTTAACTGGTCCAAAGTCAACCATAGTGTCTTCTCGAAAGCTTGACATAAACACTATTTTCTTTCTACTCTCTCCTGTACCAGGTGGACCCATATGTTGTGTCAGAGTTTACATCTAAGCACCATAAAAATGTGTTTGTTAAGAGCAGGAGACCTGATGGGCCACACAGTGGCGGAGCTAAAATTTTTTTCAAGGGGTGGCCAAAGGATGGGCAAGGCTTTATCAGAGGGGTCCATATACGAAAGGAAAAGATATTTGTTTCCTTTCGTTCAAAATGAATTAATATAACGAGTTAGGTTATAATTCAAAGCTTTCATATGACATAGCCTACTTACATTTCAGTCATTATAAAACTTAATGGTTTTTCACATATTCTTACCACACACATTTCAAGCAAGAGCTAGGAGAAATAAAACATTAGAGGGCAACATATGCTAAAACATATGTTAAAAGAATCTGTCTAAAACACGATCTATCAGCACTAGCATGGCTAATATAATAAACGAGGCACTATGCAGCGGTGCACAACCATTTTGTTTTTCTTTTTAGAAATGTATGACAAGAGCCGCCTCTCATTAAGAAGGAAACACCGGTTACTGCTGAGCGGTAAAATGTAAATACCTGCAAAACTCCTGACGGTGTAACTCTAAAGCCGTTGATGTTTTGGATCAAGCAGGACCCACCTGTCAGTTTAACCAACGAACAGCGTCGAGCATCGGGCTGCCTTCAGGGACAGTCGGAAATTACAGTTTTCCTGGCAAATCTTTGCCGATCTCATAAGTATTATATTTTAAAATTACCATTTCCAGTGGGGTGGCAGTAGGGGTGGCATGGGCTCTGTTGGGGGTGGCAAGTGCCACACCGGCCACCCCTCTGGCTCCACCACTGGGGCCACAGAGTAACCTCAATATGGCAAAAACAGCCTGAGGACAAAAATTATCTTTGTCCACATTAAAGATAACATTTACATTACTGTCATGATGCCATGATAGTAATGCAGGAGTTAATATTGGCAAGATTTTTTGAAAATGTGATGCAGCACATGCACAGGCGTTTGGATTCAGATGATTTTCAGATATGCTCTGCAGGGGGTGCAGTTGCCACTAAATATGTCATTTAATAACTTGAACTGAATGCATTTCAGCTCATTTATAATTTATTCAAAAAATACTTTAAAAATTCCAGAGGAAAATTAAATGTTGTTATAGTTCATTATCCAAGTGTTTTCAAGGACTTGCTGATGCATCTCCAGTAGCAGTCTGCTTTACAGTAAGTCAGAAGATAACAGTTTGAGGATTCTGCATGTTATGAAAAAGCTTCCTCTGTCCAGCCATCTCCAGAGGTTCCAGACTCCCCAGAACAGAACACGCCTGTTTATGTCCCTCACTCTGATGATGCTATCCCAACAGATGATACAGCAGCAGCATCTACAGATCATTTGCAGCATCTTGCTGCAAACACTGAAGGACCTAAGCTTGATTGTAAAATGGATGGCAAGCAAATGTTTTAATTCCATGGGAGGAACTGGATTCAAGTTTAAAAAGTGTGAATGTCAAATTTATTTCTAAAGCACATTTAAAACTAGAAAGTGCTTCACAAAGGGTAAAAGCAACAACATTAAAAACAATAATGAATTCAAAAAATAGGATAAACTTTTTGCAGCAGGACAGTGCAATCAGACAGGTCTGATTGAACTCAAACTGAAACCACAGCAATGAGTTTGCAGGAGAGATTTAAAAAAACTGTACAGACTCTGCAGCACAAATATGAAGAAGCTGGTTCCAGTCGTGTTTCTGCAGTGGCAGAGCCTCGATCTCTATTGGGTTTTAATCTGGTCATTAGTTGTACTAAGACCACGACAGAGACTTTGGATCATAAAAGTTAAGGAGAACCGTTAGATAATTAGATGCCAAACTTTTATGAGTAAGTAACACCGACATAAATACAAAAATGAGCAGGTAGCCAATGTAAATCCTTTAAACTGGAGTGAGGAGGTCATGCTTTCTGGTACCTGTTAAAAGACAAGCAGCAGTGTTTTGGACTAACTGCAAGTGATGGATTATTGATTGATTGAGTGATCGATTCCATAATATAAAGGATTGTAGTAATGTAATCTGCAAGTAATAAATGTAAGAACAATAGTTGTCAGGCTTTTTGGAAGAATGTAGGATTTGAAATTTGGTCAAACAGATTAAACCAAGTCTTGACTACAGTGGACATTTAGCAGAACTGTCTAAAACACTCTTAGATTCCTGCCTTTCTTGTGCCTGTAGAGGCGTCGTGCAACATTCTCACAAACACACAGCTATACACACCAATCCTGTAGATGAGCACCCTGCTGCCAGCCTGGTCCCGCTGTGGGAGAACAGCATGGTATGATGTCTTGAGGAGACCAAACACAGATAAAGGAGACAGGCAGGTGCTGATCTCAGGACTCTCCCTCCTCCAGTGCAGGTAGTTCAGCAAGAGCTGGAAACACATGTGGAAGAACCCTTACAGCTTGCTCTCCTATACATGAGCTTTGCATTTGACTAGACAATCAAATTGATATACCGCAGACCCCCGCCTGTTCAATATTTACAGAAAGTTCTGTGGAATGAGCTTCAACTTATTTAACCAAAATCAGATTTCTTTCGGTAGAGCATATCCAAAATACTTGAAAGAAAGCAGTTGGAAAAGCTGACATACTTTCATGCATTGATGGCTCTCACACTATTGGCTGATGTTTGCTTAGTGAGAACAAAACAGTCCGTGAGCACCATTTATTTTAATTGGCACTGATTTACTGAATCCTCAGGAGTGGATGCAAGGCACATAATAGATATTAGCTTTTGTGTAGAACTAAGACAATTTCCACTGAACACTTTAATAAATATTAACCAAAAATATGAATATATTTTTTTGGAACTTAATGACCAACACAATATGGTAAACAATTGTGCAGCAGAAATAAAATGAAAGTTTACATATATACATATGTATATCAAAGTTTAGCAGTTGTTTCTGTGGTAAGCTTATTTGCTTGTGTCCCAACTGCAGAGCTTTACCCCAGTTGGCTGGGCTCACCCTGCATTCAATTGCTTGTTTGTCAGACAGAAGTATTTTACACTCATTGACTTTGCAGAATAGTTTGTTTCTAAAACACTCAGAAATTGGTGCTCAAGTAAGAACTATTAGCTTCTCTAGATTTTGGAAGAAGAGGAGAAAAGAGTTAAACTAAATTGAGATTTTTTTAATGTCTCGTCTTTTAGGGAATGCTCCTCAAACAACAGGCTGTTTGATTTGCCTTATGTGTGTTTATAACACAGATTGTTTGTAACAACTAAAATTCTTGGCAATGTTAATATTAAAGCACATAATATTACTGAATACTTGAGATTATTTAGCACTTTTGTGTTGTTTAAGATCCAGCACCTTTGGCTGCAAGTTAATGGGTGATAGAGAAAAAGTGGATTTTTTTGTGGCAGACATGCTTCATTGGTTTACATTGTTCTCTGCTTTGAGAGACAGCAGAGAACATGTCTCAAAATTCTCATCTGAAATGCCTCAAATATGCTACCTACTGTGATCAAATCTCAAAAAGTGACATTTATAAATGCATGCTTCTTGAGCCTGAAATATTTGTTTTAATATTTATTTCTAGAAAAATCGTTTTTTATTTGAAAGTACCACAGTTTACATATAACGTTCTGTTTTGTTCATATAATTTGGACAAATTATATTAGACATTAGGATTAGTTAACATGTATATAAACATCTTTGAACCAAATATTTTTTTTATTCTTACTTCAGTAATTTTTAGAAATACAAATTCTAAAATATATGAAAGTAAAGCAGCTCTTATTGAGTGCTGCTCTATTCTGATACAGATGATCGTGCAAGATGCTAAATTTCCCAGAGAATGATGGAAAAATCAAGATTTGCCACATAATTAAGATGCATGAATTTACTTTACACGGGCCTGGTACCATCTGGCTGTAGCAATTGTAGGAACTATGATGCCAAGTCCAGACATCAAGAGACATTTTTGTGTGGATGTATTTCCTGAACTGTGAAAAATATGACTCTTCATCTGAATATTGCCTCTTTTCATTGGGTTATTTGTCTCGGTAGATAGTGTCTGACTTTCAGCTAGACAATTATCCAGTTAGATTTTTGTAGTTTATCATTTTTTGGTGCAGTGAGGACTAAAACTAGACTTTAAAATATTTAACACATTCTTTGCTCATTTTCTATTATAATATCGACTTAATAACTACAAAAACCACACAAGTGTACTTTGGGTGCAGATGTGGTCCATCATATGATGGATGTTTGTACTTCTGTATTGAATCTGTGAAAGCCTGTTGAGAACGTCAGAAAATAATTTTACAGGTTTGTGACAACAGATACCAAATCTGGAAGAAATCCTCAGAGCAGACTGCTTTTGCAAGATATCCTAAATAAAATTTTTGTTTTAACCAGCCTGTAACTGGTCAGTGTTTTCCCGCTGGGACAGCGCAGGTCCTGTACCTTCAGAGAAAGCGTCTGGTCGAAGTCTCTGGCGCGGAGAAATCTGATAAGGAAGCTGTCGGAGAACGTTCTCACAGAGGACAGATCGTCGGCCTGCAGGGCTGCCCGCCTTAGGCTCACCACATGCGGCCTCAGCTGCTCTGAGTCGTCCGGGAGCTCCGTGAGCTGAGATCCGTTCATATCGCAATCAGGTCGGGTTTCTGCTGCTGGTCTCCTCGGGACGCTGCTCAGGAGGAGCCGGACAGGAGGAGCCGGACAGGAGGAGCCGGTCCGGCTTCCAGAGGGGAGGGATTGTGAGTCGGAATGCATTTGCACACTGTAACAAATTGCCCTGTATTTTTACAGTATAATGCTGGCAGCAGGGTTGTCAGCATTATACTGTTAATTATACAGTACCCTTACTGTAATCAACTTTACAGTATATTACTATCACAAAAGAAATCTTTTGATTACAGCATATTGCTGTTTTTTTTATCAGATTTACAGTAGACTACTGGCAGCAGTGTTGCCAGTATATTTCAGTTTTCTATGGTACCATTACTGTTGAATTCACATACTGTAAATTTCCAATATAAAATAGAAACATGAAAAAAACCACTTAGAAAATGTAAGTTCCATCATGTCAAACATTTATTTGGGAAAAAAAAAGAACCAACTCAAACATTGACTCATACACAGTCTTTAGTGGGCCACATAATAAAGATGAAGGTTTTGAAACGACAACGTATGTGTGCCTTAAACCTAAACCCTTCTACAAGAATGTTGAGGGTAAACTGTCCAAAGTAAGTCATATTCTGGAAAAATAGTAAGAAAATCACCATCTATTTTGTGAAATAAATTTAACTGATTTAAAGAGTATTTGAATAAAGCATGAATTGTGGCCTTTTGATTAGTCTGAAATAAAATAAGTAAATAAATTGTGGAAATAATGCATTGTACAACTCAGCACACTACTTTTTCAATACAAAATACTACTTTTTGTGGAAGTGAGGAACAATATGATGCAACATAAAACAAATGAAACATTTAACTTTCAATCTAAAGCATAGAAAAAAATTGCAAATTTTAGTTTGATAAAAATTTAAATGAAACATTTAGACTTGAATTTCCTTTAGGGCAAAATCAGAGCTCCAACTTCAAATGATAAAACAATGAAACGGTATTTGACAACACACTGCCAAGATAAGTTAAACATGGTGCCTGTACAGTCAAAATTACATCTGAGGAACAGAAAGTGGGAGCCTTAACAAAATGTATGCTCTTAATTAACAGAGATGTCTTAAGATTATGCTGACCTTTAAACCAAATAAGTCTCTCAAGAACACTCCTGTTCAGGGATAAGTTGCCTTCATGCCTGTATAGTTTTTTGTTTGTTTGTTTTTGCGTGGAGGGGCAACAATATCTATAGCTTGGTTAGAAAGTTCTCACTATGAAATTCCATTCAAAGTCCATGAGGTTTTTCAGCAGAGTTGAAACACGGGGGATGACAGTGACCGACTTCTTTTGAAAAGTTTTCCCTGTCCTCTTGGAGATGATCTTGCTACAGCTGGACTTGGTCCGGGTTGATATCAAGAAAGCGCCTGAAAATGCAGTAATTTCAGATTAGCATATGATGCTTAAGGAGTCAGGGTTTAATGTGTGCTAGGTGAAGACAAACTTTGAATGTTAAGAGTTAATAAAGAGACACCAGCATAACATTTAAACTGTTTTCTGCCAAGTCAACTCTGTGAAACTCCAAATTCCCAGTTGATATCCATTCACCAATTTCACTTTAGCAGTTACTCATAACAATTCAAGTCAAATTACACAAAAGAAAGAAAAAGAGCTTCCAAACATGTCAATATTTGTAAATATGAATCATCAAAAATAACTTACCTTAGGATTGGCTCATAAAATGCAGGATTCAAATGGATAGTCCTTGTAAAGAAAGTTCTAGAGGTTGCTTCCACATGTCACAACAACATGTCTTCTTCAGAAATACAGTAGCGTTCTGTTTAAAGAGCCTCCTTACCGTTGAATCTAACATCATTCCCAAAATGCAATGCTACTCACAGTATTCTACAGTATTTTATTAAAAACAGTAATAATTGCCCAGAATGCATTGTTTTTCACGGTGCAGTACCGTTTTCAATAGAAACAGTATGATACTGTTCAGTTTTGGACGTTTTTTTACAGCAATTTGTTACAGTGCAGTTTGCTGTACTGTGGGGTGAAAGTCGATGTTTCGTCACCTCTAGCAGAGGTGACGAAACATCAAATGTGTACCTATCAATTAACTCATTGGGTTTGTCGCAATTTGTCCCTAATTAAACGGCCCTTAACTTGAGGACAAAGTAGTCCTCCAGTAGTCCTCAATAGTAGTCTGGCTATTGATTCGCTGATTGCTTGCGATTAAATGCGCTGCGGTCACAGAGATTGTTAAAAGCTGTAAGTGGGAAATATGCACAAGACCCGCTTTACTCACAGCAATTAGAGGACGGAATAGACTGGAAAAATGGAAAAGATTTTTCCAGTCTATTCCTCCTCAGCTGATTGGACTTTACACAAAGAAGAAAACAGGAGGAGTTGGTGAAAAGATGGACTAGCTTTATGAGAGACAGGTACTTATATTTATGGTTACTCTGCTGTTAGCATTATAATTCCCATTGTCATATATTTTTAAAATTTCCTTTAAGGACAAAAAACACATATGGTTTTGCCTTCTCAATTAGATTAGAGAGGATTCTTCAGGAATTTTCAAGATATGCAAGGTATGTTATACTTGCATGGGGATTACATTAATTTGCCCATCAGAATGAAAAAACAGGCCATAATGAATGAAAAAAAAAAAAAAAAAGAAAAAAAAATATAACTGGTGAAGTGTATCTATTCTCAATTGTATGCCTTTGACATGAATATTGTTGCTCAATAATTTTGCTCTCTGTGTCATTTTAGGATAAAGGTGATTGCTATGAAGGTGTAGCTGTTGTGGTGGCTGCTGTGGATGAAGACCTTTGGGTGACTGTTATGATCAGGAGCCATAAGGATTTGGTCCAGATCTCAATGCACATTGGTGCATTTTTGACTGACTTCACTGAGATAAAGCTTTTTTTTTGTCTTAGATAGTTTTATGTTCATGAAACACTGGAATTGTGTTTAAAGCTAATTTTTTTGTGGTTTGAACAACTCCAGTGTTTCTTCAACAGAAATTTTTCTAAGACGAAAAAAGCTTTCTCTCAGTGAAATAAGTCAAAAATGCACCACTGTGTAATTTTCTGCATATTTATGAAAGTTCAGCTTCATAATCTTTGAAACAGCATAGAAGTACTGAGAAGCAGTATATTTTAGTGTTTTGAACAATTACAATTGTAACCCGCAATTAATCTAAGACTTTTATTTTTGCGGGCCCACTTCCTGTATTGTCCCCAAACTCTCCAGCTTATTTAAAGCCCGCCTCCAGCGCGCAGTTTGAAAACATTACCAGCTGTTTCACGGTGATTGTGGTCTGCTGTTGGCGTCTTTGGCACAAACGCACCCAAATCTTTGAATACACTGATTTGATTGACTGGTGAGTTTATTTAATAGCACTGTTGCTTTTATATTTGAAACTTTTTGCTGGATTGCTCATTGGAGCATTGTTTTTAGAATTATTGACACGGCTTACGTGGACCGTCACACTGGATTCTGTCCCAGCTGATTGTGGCTAAGTACGCCCCACTCTCTGAGAAGATAACTCGTGTCTGAATTTTGTGTGTGTTTTGACACATTTACATAGATTTTAAGGCAGTGAAGTTAAAGTGAAAGAATGTAGCTACACTTAAGGTTGATATTGTGCAATATATTTATTTTTTTCCCTTTTGTTTTTTTCACTCTGCCTGAGTACTTGATTTATTTTAATTTTCTGGATATTTTCTGTTTTACTTTATTTGAATTATGGTTAAGTTAACCTGATTATTAAAATGTTTATGTATAATTAGAAATTATGCAATTGCATTCAACATGCTTGAATTTAATCAATTCTTCTGTAATATGTTTGTACATAATTGTTTTGATAGAAGTACATAATGGGTTTTCTGACCTTTTAGGTCGGGTTTTTATTTTTCTGATGGATCAGATCCTCACCCGGATCTGAAGATGGTGAGCTAAGGACAAAAGGACTATGGACTTCATGATCTTGGATACTAATTTATTCTGAGTGAATTATCTTGTCCCCCTGTATTGGTGCAATTGTCTGTCTTTTTTTATACAAATCACTTAATATGTATACACGAAAGTTAAAGGACTGTTTCTGTTTTTTTTCCTCCACTCACACCCTCAGACTCCTTAAAGGGCCACTCTTCTGACGCTTCTTTTGTAGCCACAGTTAGCCACTTTGCACGTAACTGTTACATAAATGTTGATCTCAGTGAAAGAAGTCAAAAAGTAAGACTAAGATGAAAAAAGCTTTCTCTCAGTGAAATAAGTCAAAAATGCACCACTGTGTAATTTTCTGCAAATTCATGAAAGTTCAGCTTCATAATCTTTGAAACAGCATAGAAGTACTGAGAAGCAGTATTTTAGTGTTTTGAACAATTCCAGTGTTGATCTCAGTGAAAGAAGTCAAAAATAAGACTAAGACGAAAAAAGCTTTCTCTCAGTGAAATAAGTCAAAAATGCACCACTGTGTAATTTTCTGCAAATTCATGAAAGTTCAGCTTCATAATCTTTGAAACAGCTTAGAAGTACTGAGAAGCAGTATATTTTAGTGTTTTGAACAATTCCAGTGTTGATCTCAGTGAAAGAAGTCAAAAATAAGACTAAGACGAAAAAAGCTTTCTCTCAGTGAAATAAGTCAAAAATTCACCACTGTGTAATTTTCTGCAAATTCATGAAAGTTCAGCTTCATAATCTTTGAAACAGCTTAGAAGTACTGAGAAGCAGTATATTTTAGTGTCTTGAACAATTCCAGTGTTGATCTCAGTGAAAGAAGTCAAAAATAAGACTAAGACGAAAAAAGCTTTCTCTCAGTGAAATAAGTCAAAAATGCACCACTGTGTAATTTTCTGAAAATTCATGAAAGTTCAGCTTCATAATCTTTGAAACAGCTTAGAAGTACTGAGAAGCAGTATATTTTAGTGTTTTGAACAATTCCAGTGTTGATCTCAGTGAAAGAAGTCAAAAATAAGACTAAGACGAAAAAGCTTTCTCTCAGTGAAATAAGTAAAAAATGCACCACTGTGTAATTTTCTGCAAATTCATGAAAGTTCAGCTTCATAATCTTTGAAACAGCTTAGA